CCTCCATCCAGCATGACTTTTCGTGGAAGGCCCCAGCTGCTCAGGATACGTCTTTAATGAGTGATGAAAGAGGCAGACAGGGAGTCGGGCAGGTTGCGGGGCCTCCCTCCTTAACTCAATCCTTCACCATGTCTGTTTTTCAGCCTTGTTTAGGTGATGCCCTCCAGCAAATATGTTTTTTTTTTTTCATGAGAATGCCATTTTCCTATGCGGTGTCCATCTTACATTGGGTGTGATGACACAATGTTGATGTTGAAGTGGTTAATCCTCATAAGGTGAACACTGCAAAATAAATAAATGTAAGGTTACATTTATTTTACAAACATACATATATATTTTTTTTCCAGCATTTTATTTTAAACAATTCAAAAAAACTGTTTACCTGTAAATGTTCAGGAACCCTTGTTATTAGCAAGTGGGGTATTTTTGTACACAACATACAAGAGACTGAACATGATAAAATATCCTGATATTTACAGCAAAGTTTTAGATGCACTTTGAGAGAAAATTATTTTTCAATGATGTACTGACGATGAACTTAAAGAGGTGGTCCATAGTGTATTTTTAAGGCTTGGTTGAGTTTATAACATGCAAAGCAATGTGTGCTCATGCTTCATTTGTAAAAAAATCACATTACTTTTTCATTTGATTACATTTAGCTACTCCCCAAGTAGCAAAGAATTCTGGCCCAGATTTGGCAAAAAGCTGGCACAGCAGGCATTCATCCGGCACTGGCATACAGCATGTGGGCCAAACATGGCCCGGGTTTGGCAGAGGTGGCACCGTTTTTAAGGCGGCACACAAGATTTGGGCCAGATGTAAAACGTAGTATTTGGCCCAGATTTAAAAATTTGATAAGTGGGCCATGTGAGTTTGGCCAGTCTTGACCCACATTTAAAATACACTAAAATCATTTTTGAGTAAAGAAAAAAAATTCTACCAATCAGGTCACTTTGAGAAAAAGCGTGCCCATAGTGTGTCTAAAGCGCATCACTCCATGGGTTTATAAATTTCATTGCAATCGTGACACACCAACCTATCTGGCCCAGTTCAGGCCCATTTATGAGTTATTAACTTGGCTGAGACTTGGCCCAGATTTGGTCTGTGTTTGGCCTTTGTCTGGAAGCCAGATTTGGTCCAGTCATGTACCGTAATTCACTGCGGCATGTGGGCCAAGCAAAACCTGATTGTGTGGGCCAGAGCTGGGCCAGAGAAATTTTGCTATGTGGGTCAGCTAACATCAAAATGACTGTCATATTTCCATCAGCTAATATGTGCTCTGATTTGCGGATCGGCTTCACGTCACCAAGAAGCATTAAGCACCTTCAAGCATGCGCTATTTTGCGCCATGTAAACTGTCAGTCAGGGAAGCTGTTAGCCACATCAGTTTGTGCTTGAATATGTCAGAAAATGAAGAGCACGCAGCTGAACCTCACGCCTGCTTTCTAAAGTAAAATCTGACAAGTGTCTTTTATATTATTCAAAATAAGCATGTGTAAGTAATATGAAATGTTCACATATCTTTTGCGAGTTATTTATTTTAGAGACACTGCAGTGCTGGTGAAGATTGTGGGTGTTTACAGCTGTTTGACGAATAAATATGAATTTGTAGCTAATTCTTAACAGTGCCAAACAGCATTTCTCTTTGTTTACGTCCTTGCTACAACATACCGTTAAAGCTAGAAACTGTGCATGTAATTGATCAATCTCAACAAATAAAAACACTTATGCCTAGTTCAGACTGTGTGATTTTAGCCCTGACTTTGGCTCGCCGACAGGTTTTGAGAAATCGCCGACAAGTGCCTGAAATCACAGGCAAATCGCTGCTCGTGCACGTGAGTGACAATCACACACTGTGACAGTATGAACGATCAAAGACGCGATCTGAGAGAATCGCCGATGAGTCGCCGATGCCTGTGAGATATTTTGCATGCTAAATATCTGGAGCTGTCGGCGATTCAAATCATGCCGTGTGAATTGAGTTTTGACTAAAAATAACATCAGCGATCGCCTACAGTCAATGAGAGTGCAGCTTTCACTTGTGTGTGCGTGTGTGTATACCTGCTGCAGGCCAGCGGGAGGCTGGGGGAGAAGTTAAAAGCGCTCTTTTTCGGTTTATTTGGACCCACGAAATGGAGGAAAAACTAGTGGAGGTTTGACAGGACTCAGGAGCAGCTGTGTCTGTTTGACGTTTCATACAGTAAGAAATTGATTTATTATCAACGTTGAGGAGAAATGGCTAATTCCCTTTAAACCCAGGTGAGCAAACATGTACATGTTCTACCCCCTTAAAGGCTTCTTTCTCATTATGTAGTTAATAACAAAAGATATACTACATGTTTTTGGCTGTGAGACGTAGTTTGGACGAAGTTGTCGGCGATTCTCCCTATAATAAAGTCATGCAATGTGAATGTCTATGTCGCCGAACCATTTTGCAGTGTAAACAAAGCAGCGACGAAACGCTAGCCCAGATAGTCATGCAGTGTGAAAACATCTGTGACACGACTAGTTTGAAAATCATGCAGTCTGAACTCGGCATTACAGATTGTGGTTCACAATCCACAGCTTGGTCGGTTGGAGTTTTTAGCTGAATCCAGCAATGAACTGGGAGAGATTCTGAAAGCTGCCCTGTCAAATACTAGCTGTATATTTTTATAATTTTCTGGAACATAATTAAAATTAAATTGTAAGCACTTGGTGTCGTGTCCTTTGAAAACCCAAATACAGAAACAATATAGAAGCTCTGTTGAAATAGCAGCGTTTGGATGGCATTTTAGCTTTCTGTGCAATAACATTCCAACACCTCTGGATGCGCAAGGTGTGCGCGCGGAAGCCCTTATGATCTCATTAACCCGAATGTAATTTTTGTAGTCTGTAAACTTTGTTCATTATAGGCTTTGCTTAGCGAACTCTGTAAAACCCAATGTCTCCCTTTACATGGATCTTTGAGCGTATTACATTCAGAGATGTTCTTTATGTTTATACATCAACATAAACATCAACTTAGGTTTAAAATATGATATCGTGGTGGGCCACCCCTTTAAGTTAAGATTTGTGCTACACTCTTTTCTTTAGTTTACCCAAAAATATTTATTCATTCTCATGTCATTTTAATCTCCTGAGACTTTGTTAAATTTGTGCGTAGAGTTGCCAAAGTTCGCCCTGCGTGCTTATAAATAAGGTAATGATTCGCACTCAAGTAATTGCTTCATACTGTTTTTATTTTTTCTTTCTCTTACATTCTTTGGGTGATTAAAAGACACAGACGTTTCGGCACAATGCCTTCCTCAGTGTCACTTTGTTAATTGCAAAATATTTTAGATTAAATCTGAGAGCTCTCTTGCCCTCCATAGAATCAGACAATCAACTTTAGTGGTTAAACTGTAATCATACAAAGTTTCAAAATCACTTTTGTGCAGCAAGAAACTGTAAAAACAACTTTGTCCACCAATATCTTCCAGGATGTGCATTTATTATGGGCAAAAGTATCTTAATATGTGTTCCTAAGTTAAACGGAGGTCCCAGTGGACAGGAAAAACATGAGGGGGAGTAATTAAAAACAGAATTTTCTTTTTTAGGAGTGAACTAAACCTTTAAGTACCAAATAAACAAGATAAAAAGCATAAAATGATAGCAAGATGAATCTGTAATTCTATAGCATGAAAATGCTTATGTACAGCTCATTTAAAGAGAATTAACAACAAAACAAAACGCACTTACAAATCTATTGTAAACCATTAAACAACAGAAACGAAGAATGAATAAATGAAACTAAACTACTTGAAATAAAACAACTGAAAACCAATAACATTTTAAATAGTTGTTTGACACTTGGATTTCCCATACTAAAATAACAAAACCTTAAAATAAAAATCTAAAAAATTACAAATTATTTATAAACATTTTAAGTGATAGTTCAGCCAAAAATACAAATTACATTATCATTTACTCTCCCTTTTGTCATTTTTGAAACATTTCAGTTTCTTTCTTTTGTTGAACACAAAAAAAAAGATAATTTAAATAATTAGTTGCTGTGTGCCATTAACTTCCGTAGTAGGAAACTAATTACTATGGAAGTCAATGAGTTCCAACAACCTGAAATTTTGAAAAATATATTTTGTTTAAAAAAAAGAAACTCAAATAGGTTTTCAACAATTGAAAGGCGAGTAAATGACAGATATTTAATTTTGGGGTGAACTATCCCTTTAAGAACATATGTACACATATGCAGCTGAATTCAGAATTATTAGCCCCTTTAAAATGTTTTTACTTTTTTAAAAATTTCCCAGATGATGTTTAACAGAGCAAGGAAATTTTCACAGTATGTTTGATAATATTTTTTCTTCTGGAGAAAGTTTTTTTGTTTTATTTCGGCTAGAATAAAAGCAGTTTTACATTTTATAAAACACCATTTTAAGATCAAAATTATAAGCCCCTTTTAGCTATATTTTTCGATAGTCTACAGAACAAACCATCATTGTATAATAACTTGCCTAATTACCCTAACCTGCCCAGTTAACCTAATTAACCTAGTTAAGCCTTTAAATATCATTTTAAGCTTTATAGAAGTGTCTTAAAAATATCTAGTAAAATACTATTATATTTATATATTTATAAATATATATTTATTATATAATTATTATATTACTTTCATCATGGCAAAGATAAAATAAATCAGTTATTAGAGATGAGTTAGTAAAACTATTATGTTTAGAAATGTGTTGAGAAAATCTTTCTGTTAAACAGAAATTGGGGAAAAAATAAACAGGGGCTAATAATTCTGACTTCAACTGTGTGTGTGCGTGTGTGTGTGTGTGTGTGTGTGTGTGTGTGTGTATATATATATATATATATTTGTTCACAAGAAAACAAGAACAAAAAAAAACACAGATGAACCTTTTGCAGCATAAATATAAAACAATTTGTTTAAACAAAAATGCAATAATACAAAGCTGAATGACATTTCAATACAACAATCTGCATAACAAAAAAAAGCATCATTACAGAATCACAAAATGTACTTTATTGTTATTTACAGTGATCAAAACAAGTATATTACTCTACTACATTGTTTTCTAATGTTTACATTTAGAATTGATAGAGCAACTCAACCCATGTGCTTTACTTTAGATTCAGATCATCTAAAAAAAATTTCAGGTCTTCCTCTGACGTCTCCAATGACGTCCTAATATGAATTTAAATCCCTTCTCCGCTGAACATCAAGGCAAAGACCTTAAAAGATCTCCTCAGCTGACATAAAACTTGCTGTAAAAAGAAAAGCCGAGCAGACTGCTGGACACATCAGTGTGGGCCTGTGGGACATTTGGCCTAATCTAATGCAGATCTCAACATCAAAGGCGCTGAATCGCAAATGAGAAAACCCAACGACTTTGAGGAAGCGGAGATCGACTGCATTTCAAATTTAGGGGGAAGAATCGGCTGATTACAAATGTATCGCTTTGAAGCTGGACTGATGGCACCACTTGTATGTTAATGCAATTTTGTCAAAAAATAAACAGTGCGCCGACGTCTCCCCCTGGTGGATTGACCTTGTTATTACACATTTGTCTTGAAGTCAACCATCAGACTTCATCCAATGCACTATTCTGCTTGTTGATCTTCCCTACCGCGTCCTGCAGTTGACCAACAGTCTCTATCATATGTCGGACGCTATCTTGGACGTTTCCCATTCCCTCTCGCCTCCACGAAACACGCAGCTCCGCGATCCATCTCAGCACTTCATCCAGCTGTTTCTGTGTTTCTTTCTGCTCCTCGAGCTCGGCAAGAAGCGCTTGTTTGCTGCAAACTTCAGCTTCATAGGCCTGAAGTAGTTTAGCGATGGACTCCTGCAGCTTTGTGAGCTCTTCCTTGCCTTCTGGGTATTTCTGGTGCATCTGGTCTTCGGGCAGGAGGACATTTTGTGGGATGGAGAGCATGCGGTCTATCAGCATCCCCTTCATGCGCTGGAACATGATCTCGAAGCGCTCCTGTAGAAACTGCCGCAGTTTTTGGGTGCTCTCGCGGGCTGTCAGTCGAAGTTCTGCTGGTGGATCCCGGCCTGGACATAATCGTTTCACAAACACAGACTCAACTGCCACAAGTATGTGGTTGAGAGAGTCTCGAAAGGCATCACGAACTCGTAAAGTACAGGTCTCTGGGGTGAAGCCGAAGAACTGGGCTTCGTAGAGCTGAAGGGATTCGGATCCCACTGAAACTACAGTAATAAAAGAGACAAGTCATAATGTGACCTAATACCATAATTATTAATTTTTTTTGTTATATTTTATTTTTTTAACATGAAAATTTTATGAATAACAATAAAAAAAATTATTAACAGTAAATAATGGTGTAGAGCAGTAAATAATAAACAGTGAATAATAATGTATTAATATGTAAAATAAACAATACTTTATTATGAATTAATGATGATGCTAATCATGACCTAACTTTAACTACAACATGATTCACAAGAGTTCATGTGTAAATAAATAATGGCTACCTTAGTTACTTGTTAGTAAATGTTGTTAGTAAATATATTAATTAACATTTAATTCTAAGCTAAATGTAACCAACATGGACTCATGTACTATTTAATGTAAATTGATGTCATGACTTTACTTGGAGGGGCACATTATCACTAACTCATCCTTAACTACTCATGAACTCCTGTGTTTAAACTGTTGATGTTGACAGAACACTTTTCTTTTGTTATTCAGTGTAACGCACTAGACATATGTGTATAAGAAGTTCATGAGTCGTTAGAAAAAGGTTAATGATGATGTGCCCCTCAAGTAAAGTCATGATATTATTGTATATTAACAGCTCCTGAGTTCATGATGGTTAAACTAAGCATGAACTAATGTGTAATAACTCATTAATTAACAATCTAACAAGTAGTTAAGATAGCCATTATTCACAGATGAACAGATGAGACTACAGTTGTAAAGTTAGTTTATGATCAGCGCATGCATTAACTCATCATCAGTTGTTCATAACATTTTTTAGTTTACATATTAACAATTCATTATTAATGTACTGTTGTTGTTGAGTGTTACTAAAATAACATTTCATCTTCCATAATCAGAAAGAGCTTAATTGCCAGGCATGTATACAGATACAAGGAATTTGTTAACGTAACAAAAGTAACAACTGACAGAAGTCACAGAACGAACAAAGTTCCACCACAGTGAAACTAAAAGACGGCGACAGGAACAAACTAATGATGATAGAGAAGTTAAAAAAATAAGTAAATAGAGAATCAAAAATGTTCAAATGTACAGGAATATTACTAAATACATTACTGCAAGTATAGCTATATTATACAAAATATTATAGATATAATTACTACTATATAAATACTGTTATATAAAAAGTGTCTGCAAAAATGATTAAACAAAGTAGGTCCATACTGGGATAAGTATGTTGTTAAGTAAGTGTATGACTACAAATATACACACACATATACACACACACACACATATATATATATATATATATATATATATATATATATATATATATATATATATATATATATATATATATATATACATAGATGTATGCAAAAATTAAACAATATACTTATTCTACACTGTAGTAAAATATATAAAAGAAAAGGTGATCTTAAATATATATTTATATTTTTTAAGTATTAATAGTTTGCTGACAGCGACAATTGGGTAAAACCTTATGGTTTGTAGGATAGTGGCAAAGAAAAAGATTTAAAGTGACAATCAATTAATTAATTAATTAATTAATTAATGATGTGTTGTGGGATCTTGTTTTAATAGTTTATTAATGTCATCATCAAATGATTTTTTTTCATTCCAGAGTTCATTTGGCACATAAACTACTCTTACTGTAACTGACATTTTAATGGGTGTCTTATTTATAACATCATAAAGATATATGTTATTATTAGTAGTAGCAAAGAAATGTATTACACTTTAATTGTTTTGCTATGTTTGCTCACAAAGGCTTTATTTGTTTGATGTAAAATACTGTAAAACAATAATAATTAAATATATTAATTATAATTTTTCCTAAATGTTTTCTTTTTGAATATCGTAACATTTTCTTTATTTCTGTCAGTATAACAAAGTATTCCCCCTTTCTTTTTCACCATATAAATGCAGTCCTAGATTTCTTTTAAAAATATTATTTCAAAAACAAAAATGCTAAGAGAAAACAATTAATTAATTTAAATATATAAAATATAATTCACAAAATTCTTTGTTTTATTAACTATTAACTTAATTATTCTATTATAGTAATTAAAAAAGGAATGTAAAATGATTAAATAAGATTTAATAATTCTAAATTGCATTACAATAACAAACAGACATAAGACTAAATACAATTACTGATAGAGTACTTTAACTATTATACTGTCATATATACAGTATTATATGCTTTATATAACACAATACTTTAATACAGTATGTTTAAAAACTGTAAATTTAGTTCTGCATACAAAATAGGTGTAATTTATTTAAACTTTAGGACTGATCCCTTGCTCAGGCTTGATAATATTCGACTGTCCGTGGCGTCGACAAGTCTGAAATTAACTATATTCTTGTACCACATATAACTCTGACAGTAACATTTAACATCATGTACAACTGACTAAATATTTTGTAACATTACATATAAAGTGGCATACATAATCAGTTTCCCCTGTTTATTCTATTAAACACTCAAAGCCATTCGTAAATGATAAAACAACAGGTTTAAAAAGAGAAAGATGTTTTTACCTCCGCTCTCCGCCATCTCAGCAGCCCGCGCTCAGTTCATCCTTCTTCACGCGTCACTCAGTGCGTTCCTGAAGCGCAATATCGCCGCCTGCTGATAAGGAGATCAATAGTGTGACCAATGACTGTAAAAATGAGTGTGACAAAAATAAATTACGCTGAATTTAAGTAAAAAAAATTATGCGTACATTTAAATAACTATTCTTTTTTAAAACAATAAAACCATCTATTATAGAGTGTACTTTTCGACGACCTTGATATCAGAAGTAGTTTTGCAAACATGAGCTATGACTAAAATATGGTAAAGATGACATAAACTAAACTGTTTTTAATTCAACAATTTCACATTGGTTTAACAATGTAGTTTAACAACTCCCAGGAATTTCGCTGTTAAACAAAGTTATTAAATAATAATAATAATAATGATAATAATAATAATAATAATAATAATAATAATAATAATAATAATAATAATAATAATAATAATAATAACACTATATGAAAAATACTGTAGTAATTTATAGTACATTCTACAGTGTTTTACAATAATAAAGCAATAAAGTGTATAATAAAGTGTATTATATTATAAAGAGTATTGTAAACCTTACAGTATTTACAACAATGTACTAATGAATGCTGGAGCATGCTATTGTTTTAAGTATAATAAACAAATTAACTGTAATAAATATTGTGTAATAATAATTATAGTAATAATAATAATAATAATAATGATTTTTGTTGTTTGAGCACGTAGCTCAAACTTACCCTCAAAATAAGACCCCTACTGTACCAATTGTTTTTTGGGACTTTCCCAATGTGAAAGTGACGAGGACATAAAGTTCATATTCATACGTTTCACGAACCAATAGAAAAGTGACATACTTTCGCTCACCGGGACGAAGCAACGATGGACACTTTGGACGACCAATCAGAGCAGAGAGCTCGCCAGGTGTCAACCAATTGCAAACATCAGAAACTAAAATCGCCTCCTTCATTCGCTTGCTCAGGTGATGACGTGTCAAGAAGGTGCCGGAAGCAGCGTTGTCGCTCCGAAAAATGGCATACCAGACAATCCGACAGGAATATTTACAGATTCCTGTGGTCACCCGAGCTTATACGACTGCTTGTGTACTTACTACAGCCGCCGTGGTGAGTAAATCTGACGAATATTGGGACTTTAATCGCTATTTTCCTCAATGGCCTCGTCCCAATGCAGTTGAAACACAGCTGGCAGACTGGCTGTGGTGTTATCAGGTCATATTTACATAAATCTTCTCTGTAAAGTGTGTATCCGAGTTAAAAGTAATATGTCCGGTTTTTCATATCATTCAGGTTTCAGGTCTGCGTCTTCATGTGTTTACATTTATTTATGTGACTTTAACTTACCTTGATAGTAAAACCACAATGGTCTACTCAGAGTTAACGTTACTTTACTTTTGATTTCAGTTATTGGTTGAACTTAATATTAATTCAACATTAAACACTGTTTGTTTTGTTTACTTAAGCCATATTATTCGTATATAACTGGTGTTTAATTATTGTTTTACAGCAATTAGAACTCATCACACCTTTCCAGCTCTACTTCAACCCAGATTTAATACTGAGGAATTATCAGGTAAGTCTGAATAGTATTGTGCTTTGTTTTATTTATTTCATGGGCCTTTACACAATAAAATGAACCTTTTTTATAATATGTACAGTGGAAGTCTAAATTATTACCTTACCTGAATTATTAGACCCCCTGCATATATTATGCAAATATATTTTCCAATATTTTTTTCACATTTCTAAACATAAAAGTTTTAATACATGAAACATGGACTTTCAGCATGCACTAGGGCGGTTTGCTGCCGAGTGTGATGTGGCTGGGATGAGAATTAGCACCTCCAAGTCCGAGGCTATGGTGCTCCACCAGAAAAAAAAAAAAGTGGTTTGCTATCTCCAGGTTTGAGGAAAGTCCTTACCCCAGGTGGAGGAGTTCAGGTATCTTGGGGTTTCGTTCACGAGTGAGGGAAGGATGGAATGTGTGATAGGTGCAGCGGAAGTAGTATTATGGTCATTGTACCGATCTGTTGTGGTAAAGAAGGAGCTGAGCCAAAAGGCAAAGCTCTTGATTTACCTGTCAATCTATGTTCCTACTCTCACCTAAGATCATGAGCTTTTGGTCATGACCGAAAGGACAAGATCTTGGATATAAGTGGCCGAAAGGAGTTTTCTTTGCAGGCTAGCAGGGCGCACCCTTATAGATAGGGTGAGGAGCTCTGTCACAAGAGGAGCTCGGAGTAGAGCTGCTGCTCCTCCACATCAAGAGAAGTCAGCTGAGGTGGCTCGGGCATCTGTTTCGGATGCCTCCTGGACGCCTACTTATGGAGGTGTTCCAGGCATGTCCCACTGGGAGAAGGCCTCGGGGAAGACCCAGGACATAGGTTGGACTATGTCACTTGGCTGGCCTGGGAATGCTTCGGGATACCCCAAGGAGAGCTGGAGGAAGTGTCTGGGGAAAGGAAAGTCTGGAGTTCTCTCCTAAGACTGCTGCCCCCACGACCCAGCCCTGGATAAGCTGATGAAAATTAGATAAGATGAATCGTTTTAAGAACTCATTTCTGATAACTGATTTTTTTTCTTTGCCATGATGACAGTACATAATATTTTACTAGATATTTTTCAAGATACAATTATTCAGCTTAAAGTGCAATTTAAAGGTTTAACTAGGGGTTATTAGGCAAGTTGGTTTGTTCTGTAGACATTTGAAAAAATATAGCTAACTGGGGCTAGTGTTATTGACTTTAAAATGGTTTTTAAGACATTATTCTTGCTGATATAAAACAAACAAGATTTTTTCCAGTAGAAAAAAATTTATAGGAAATTTAAATATTATATAAATATTTAAATCTCTGAGACATTTATTATAGACTTGTAAACTTATAGAAAATGCATGAAAATATACATTTGCACACTATGTTTTTAGTTAAAACAAGATAATTCACTCCTGTGTAAAGTTTGTTTAGATGCATGACATTTTTGTCAATTTCACATGCATTGGATTCAGTATATATTTAGTATGACATTATGAAAATCCCACAAAACAAAAACATAAACATTTATGTCCATATGTACTTTTCTGAAGTACATATGGATGTACCATAGTGCTAGCAATGTTAAGATCATCATTCAATTGCCAGAAAATGAACATAAAAATTGTACTCAGTCAACACAAGAATTTATTTCTGGTAAAAGCATCTGTTAAATTTGTAAATAAAAAACAATGTTTGAGAGTAGTTTAGTAATAATGATAATTATTATTTATTTAAACATATTATTTGATTTAGTATAGCTGACTTAAAACATTAAATTAGAAGTTCAGTTTGACCCAAGCATGATGCTATTTTAATAAATGAAAATGTTGGTTTGCCTAGTGCATAATTGAATTCATATTAATGATGTAATGGTCAAAATCAATAACCCTATAAAGTGACCCTGTACAAAATACAAGGTTTATCTCTTTTGTCATTTGACAGAATGATAATTTTTAGTAGTTACTATAAGTTATGGATCTAAAAATGTCCTCCTTTAAGTCAACATCTTCGCTTAATGAAGTGACAGCTTTTTCCACACATAAGATGCGTAAATGTTATAATAAACAATATGGTTAATAATGACCAGGGCCAGACAGAATCTGCAGACATTTTTTTTCTATTTCTGCGCAAAAGTTTGTAAAAAATCTGCGGATTTATGCAGAATGATTTTGGAGTATCATTTGACTTTAATTTATACTTTAACTTTTATTTAGTGTTTACAACGCAAATCCAATTAGATCCCCTTTGTCTTATGTCCGTCACATAATATATCTACTAAAAGACAAAAAATTGTACTTTACGAACTATTGTAAATAATTCATATGAACATGCTCATATTATTCAATAATATTATTGACTAAAATAAGTTGTTAATGCTTCCAGATTTAAAAGAATACCCCGACAATGACTGAAGTCACAAAAATGAGAGGCTCCATTAAATGGCATAACATATTTTCGGCCCATAAATTTTCAGGGCTGAAAATTTGGTACATCTCTAATGACAACACTTTAAGATTGCTATTGTTGCACATTTCTGCTGCATAATTGGCTCTTAGATCAATAAAGAGTAATAAAAGTCCAGAGCTTATCATTGTTATTGACATCAATTTTATTGTGATTCGATATAATATTGTTTATCGTCCCAGCCCTAGTATTGAATATAATAAATGTGTTTTTGAGCAGTAAGTTATCATTGTATTACACACTTTACCCCTCATACATTGAAAAAAAAGTGTTGCAAGCAGAACTGTTGCAAACAATTTATTTGTGTTGAATTTAAACAAACAAATTAAGTTTAATAATGTTTAATTTAATTTGTTTGTTTAAATTGAACCCAAATAAATTGTTTACAACCACTTAAAGTAAAAAAATTGAGTATATCCAAGGAATCATCTTTGAATATTTTTTTTCAATGTAGTAACAACTACAGAGCTTTGATCATAAAGTTTTTTTTATAGTAGATTGTGTGCAACAGGTTTTTTTATTAAGCAAACTTTTGATCATGTTGATAATTTAGAGCCCACTAGGGTTAAAATTGAAGTGTGTGGTTCTAATTATTTTTATGTATACTTTTTTCTGTCCTTAGGTATGGCGGCTAATAACCAACTTTTTATTTTTTGGTCCAGTTGGATTCAACTTCTTGTTCAACATGATATTTTTGTATCCTTGTAACATGTTATGGTAATGCATTCACCATCCTATTGTAAAGGAAGCAGTGTGCATGAGGTGTACTACATGTTGTTAAAGTTGTTCAGTCCTTAACTGAGTCTGTCAGGTACCGATACTGTCGGATGCTGGAGGAGGGCTCTTTCAGAGGAAGAACCGCTGATTTTGTCTTTATGTTCCTCTTCGGTGGCCTTCTCATGACTGTATCCTTCACTATTGCTCGAAAGAGAAACACTCATTTTTTTGTATAGCATGACAGCAGTTGTTTAACATGTGTATGTATGCTTGTATTTATATAGCACATATTTAGTGCCTTATAGACCCTGTTAAACCCATATTCAGCATCATTCACATTTTATTGGGTCGACCAAAATGCAAATTAAAGTTATAGTTCACACAAAGATGACAATTTACTCATCATCAAATGGTTATGAGTTTCCTTATACTGTTGATCACAAAAGATATTGTGAAGAATGCTGAAAACACGTAACCATTGACATTCATGGTAGGAAAAACAGATATTATGGAAGTCAGTGCTTACCGATATTCAGCTTTTTTAAAAATGTTCAATTAAAGAAAGAAAAGAAAACATGTTTGAAACAATTAAAGGGTAGGTGAATGGTGACAGACTTCAGTTTTGGGGGAACTGTCCCTTTTTAACAAGTGTAAACAAGGCTAGTTTGTACAAAAATGGAAAGATTTCACACCATTTACTTAAACTCAAGTGGTTCTAAACTTTTGTGAGTTTCTTTTTTCTGTTGAACACAAAACCAACAGATACTAAAGAAGGTTGCTAAAAAAAAGCAGCCATTAAGCAGTAGGACATAAAAAAATTAGTAACAAAAATACTATGGAAGTCAATGGCTTCTGCTGCTTTCTAAAACAAATTCATAATATCTTCTTTTGTGTTTAACAGAAGAAACAGATTTGGAACAAGTGGAGGGAGAGTAAATGATGACAGAATAGACATTTTTGGTGAATTTCCTTTCTAGCATTTCTTCACTAAAACTTTGCGGAATGGTAAAATAGTAAAAATATAATTAAAAAATAGATTACAATGAACATGAAAACAATGTATAAATAAAAGGTTACATAATATAATTAATAACATAATATAAAATAACATGTCGCTTTGAAGAATCGCATGAAAACTGGCCGGCTTTTTAGAAATATTATTTTCATCCTAATTTTTGTGTCTTGTTTTTTTTTTTTTAACAAGTTCATATGAGGAAATCCTGGGTTTTGTGGTAGCATGGTAAAAAGAATGGTAGAGTGACTCATCTCTTGCTCTCACCTAAAAAAAAAAAAGACTAATATAGAAGCAGGACAGTGAAAGATGATCTGTTTGGCCTCGTTTTGTAATGTACAAAAGTTAGGGAAATGTCATGTTGAAAGACACAAGCATCACGGCTGTCATATATTTTAAATGAAAAAAAATATATAAAAGATTACATAATAGAATTAAATAATGTTGTCACTTTGAAGAATTGCATGAATGTGAAAAACTGGCCGACTTTTAGAAAAAAAAATTCATCTTAATTTTTGTCTTGTTTTTTTTTTTTTTTTTTTTTTTAACAAGTTCATATAAGGAAATCCTGGGTGTTGTGGTATCATGGAAAAAAAGAATAGTAGAGTGACTCATCTCTTGCTCTTACCTCAAAAAAAAAAAGACTAATGTAGAAGCAGGACAGTGAAAGATGATCTGTTTGGCCTCGTTCTGCAATGCACAAAAGCTTGGGAAATTTCATGTAGAAAGACACAAGCATCAAGGCTGTCATATATTATGAAAAGTAAAAAAACACTGCAAAAAAAGCTTTTTAAATACTTTCTAGTCCAAATATTTAAAAATGCAAAAATCAAGAAGCATCTTTTAGACAAAAAAAATGTATTCTTTTTAGACATAATTTTTCAAAATTAAGTGCGTTTTTCCCTAAAACAGGAAAAATAATCTGCCAGTGGTGTAAGCAAAATAATCGTATTTCAAAGCGAAACTTTGAGAGTTTAGCCTAATCTCTTGGGAAATTATTTTCCTTGTTTTAAGCAAAAACTCAATAAAAGTTGCTGTAAATTTTACACTCAGAGGTTGAACCTGGTATTGCATGCCTGGTTTAAAACACATGCAAGCGCAGGTTGTTAGATTGACACCAACAGGAGCAAACCTGTCTATCGAGCCTAAAGGCTGATTTAAGTCATGTTCTAAATAAAATCAATGGCATGCAATATACAGAATAATTTCCATATTAAAAAGAGTAATATTTTTGTCCTAATCAGCACCTGAAATTTAAATTTTAGAAACAGCTTCTATTTCTTGCTGCTAAACAACAGGATAAACTGACAATGATCACCTCAGGTACACCTCATGTGCTTTATTCAGTGTTAAATGCTTACAATGTGAGTTTGAATGCAGTTTTACATGACATTTATCGCCATATTACTGAAAGCAGCAGTAGATAGTTCCCCTCATATCTTGAAAATAAACTGTTTGAAATTGAACCTGTGAACTGTGATATGTGTGCAAGCCAACACATATCAGTGATTGTCATCTACATTTAATAATGTTATAGAGCACTGGTTCTTAAACTTTTTTCACCTCAGAAAAAGTTGTCTCTCCAAGTACCACCATAATGACCAGTATTGAAATAAAGTAGCGTAGTTGGTTAAATTAAGCAGCTACAGCACTGCACAGTTTGAAAAGAGTCATATTCATTCAACGAAATTATATTTCATACAAATTATGAAGCTGATCAATTCTTATCACATGACTCACGGTGCGGCATTCTGAAAAGTTGAGATGTTTTCAACTGGGGACGCCTGGAATACACAAGCGCTTTGTGCAGCAGTTCTTACTAATTTTGCTTGCCAGTGGGTTAAATTTTGGCACTCAAGTGACCGAGATGTAACGAGAGTATGGTCATTTTTCAAAATAAAAGATTTTTCAAAATAAATGATTGTTCAGACTATATTATAAATAAAACTGAAATAATTAATGATTTTTTGTTGGTCCAGGACCAGTTGATCTATAGACCGGTACCGGTCTGTGGCCCAAGGGTTGGGAACCACTGCTCCAGCACGTACAGTACAGTAATTCTGAATGGCTGTTTCGTCTGGTGCAAATTGCTTATTACTGCGTATCTCCTCATGTAGTGTACTGTTAAGATACAGGGTTACAATGTAACCTGCTCACCTAATGTTTATGTTTGTAATATTTATATTAATTTCTAATTAATAACCACCTCATGTGGAACTCTGAATCTGTGTCTCATTTCGGACACTGTCACTGTCCACTAGAGATCACATTTAGATTGCGGACACACACTTTGAGAGCCTTTATCACAGAATTAATGAAATACGCTGTTTTCCACAAGGGCTGCCCGGGGTGCTGAAATATAATTGGCTAAACTGTTAAAGTAAAAAAGTTAAAGTGACCAAAGTGTTTCTTAAATGTCTGCAAACAGATTATGGTATTTTTATCTTTTAGAAGAGTTAAAAACGTACACACACACTTTTAATTTTGACCTCCTATTTCTGAAAACGACAGTATTTTTTTTTGCTTGTCTAGAAAATGCTAGAAACAAGATAAAATTCATTTTTGCAGTGATCAGATTGTGTGATCATTAACAAAAAGAGTCACTTTTGTGTTGCATTCAATTAAATGGCATTTGTGTGTGTGTGTGTTTTTTTTTTTTCTTAATGGCGCTGCAGATATTTGGCACATTCGTGAACCTTGTTTTTTTAGGCCAGGCTTTTACCATCATGCTGGTGTACATCTGGAGCCGGAGGAACCCAAACGTGCGCATGAATTTCTTCGGTCTTCTGAATTTCCAGGCACCCTTTCTTCCATGGGTGCTGATGGGATTCTCTCTGCTGCTGGGAAACTCCATCATTGTCGATCTTTTAGGTAAACACTTGTGGTTATTTATAGAATTATTTACTGTTCCTGCCTACACAGAAATCCAAAATGTTATTAATGAAAATTTTGAGATTTAGTAACAAATTGAATAAACTAAATTGGCCTAGTGTATGTGTAAATGTGAGAGTGTATGGGTGTTTCCCAGTACTGGATTGCAGCTGGAAGAGCATCCGCTGCATAAAACATAAGCCGGAATAGTTGGTGGTTCATTCCACTGTAGTGACTCCTGATAAATAAGGGACTAAGCCCTTATTAGGGCAATGAATTAATGGACGAATGATTTTTAGTAACACTTTCTATGAAGCTCATTCTAATAATGAATCATAACTCTGTTTATAAGTATTTATAATCAATCATATTATTTATTTAAATTATGTTTATATTTCTATAGACAAACCCTATACTGTATTATACTGTATCACTATAATACTATACTGTATTATAGTGATGGGTATTAATACTTAGTAGTGATGCATTTAATTTTTCAATGCACGTTCATAACACAATATGCATGATTTATGAGTAATAATTAGTCATGATTGTATTTATAAAGATGCAGTCTGCAATTTAAAAAAAATTGTTATGCTAAAGTTACAAAGAATGATTTGTCACATAAATGATTGCATTTATTTTGTTGATAAGACCCTTTATGCCTTATAAATGCTTATTGTGAGTCATAATAGTTACTAACATTTATAAATGCATCATTGCTGGATTTAAGTGAAGTGAAAACAGGATGCCAATTTTCCATGTTAATAATATTGTCCTTTTGTAAATGTTTATTTTATCTGAGCTTCCAACTCTCTAAACCTAACCCTAAGCCTTTATTTTCCTGGAAAAATGTAGAGAATAAAGAAAATAAAGCATGACAGACCATTTATAGAATTGTCAGGATTGACTATTAATAAATCTTAATGGCATCTTTGTTCAATAATGAGTGACTAATTAATACTTATAAATCATGCACATGTTTGTAACACATTATACATTGCAAAATGAAATGCATCACTAGGATCATAAACTGTTATTATAAATAAATGTCATTATAACAGTATGTGGTTTGTGTCTTTATAGATACATTTATAGAATTGTTATGATTGATTATTAATATTTCTAAACGACATTTTTATAAATACAATCATGACTGACTAATTAACACTCATTAATCATGTATAATGTTGTAAGCACGTGCATTGCAAAATGAAATGCATTACTAATAAGTATTAATAACTGTATTCATAAATAAATGTCATTATAATAACACTGTATGCGGTTTGTTGTCTTTATAGATACATTTTTGTTTTAGAACTGTAATGATTGACTGTAAACAAAGTTATAATTCATTAAAATTTTGAGTTTCATAGTAAGTGTTACTAGACTTTTTTTAAGTTCTAAAGAGTAAATCTTTACTTGTTATGCTAGACAATACATCTAAATGCTCAGTGTATAATTATAATTGTAAAAGCTTTTGTTTTCTTCAATATAAGGCATTGCAGTGGGACATGTGTACTATTTTCTGGAGGATGTGTTTCCCAACCAACCAGGTGGTGGCAGATGGCTGAGGACTCCCTCTATCCTGTGAGTTATAAGAGTTTCTAACATTTTTACTATAGATTTTTATTGTAGATCTGTATATTTATGCATGTAAAACTGTTAAGTGTTTGAATTTATTATTATTATTATTATTATTATTTAAGTCTGGTATGCTCACTATGATTAAATATATTTGATAGTAGTGCAGGTAAACAGTGATACAGTGAAAAATTATTATATTATGTTTATATTTCTTAAACATAATATTTTAAAGCATTTTCTATTTTAATATATTAAAATAAATTATATAAAATTGTTTAAAAGTTTTAAATCTTATATAATTTTTAAGTCTCATGCTCAACATGATTAAATATATTTGATAGCAGCACATGTAACAATAATACTGTGAAATATTATATTTTAGAACATTATAATATCATAACATTTTTATAAGCAGTTTTTTATACATTTAAAAATTATATATATTTAATCCTGTGATTCAAAGGTGAATTTTCAACAGCTGGTGATCCAGTTTTCGCTGTCATACTTGTTCATAAATAATGTGCTTAAAAACATTTATTATAATCAATTCTGGAAACAGTTGACCTGCTTTTTTGTTGGGATGGAATAGAATATTTAAAATAACTTTAAATTATTTTTAAATAATTGAAGTTTTAATAACTTTAAATAAAAATGTGAATTATTTTATTCAGTATGAATGCATTACATTTGTTAATTGAGGCAAAGGTTACTAAAGTAACAAAAGAAATTTGTTAACAATCAAGGATAATCATTTGTAATGATAATAATCAAGATTAACATTTCAAATAAATGCAATATTTTCAGTAAAGCATTAAAAAGATGTTTAGGTGAAAGTCTGATTCTTGATTTTAAAATGCAAATCAACAGCTATGTGCGTTTTGAGCGTAAGAAGTGTAAAATAAAATAAATGAATAAATAAATCCAAGGAAAACAAAAAGATAACTACAGCTCCTGTGAAACGTTATTTCTGTTGGCTTGCACTACATTAATGACCAAGGGCTGCAGTTTTAACTTAAAAAAAATTGTTAAAGTTCTTGCATATGAAAGTTGACTACATTTTGGATTGCCTGAGGTTGAGTAAATTTACAGGAAACTCTAATAACAACTATGTCTTTGTGAAGCACAGCGGTTTTTAATCTTGATACCATCAAGTGTTATTGCAAGTATCTTGCTATCACGATCTTGATGAATACTGAAAGATCGTGTGACTGGAGATAAATTCAGCTGTGAATAAAAATATGATTAAAAAATGCTAATTAGAACTTTAAAATACAAGTTATTTTAAAGTGAACTAAGCTTCATAATACTAGAGCAGGGGTGCTCAATCCTGTTCCTGGAGATCTACCTTCCTGTACAGTTTAGCTCCTACCCTGATCAAACCCACCTGAACCAATTAATTAGGACCTGAAATCCACTTGATAATTACAGACAGGTGTGTTTGATAAGGGTTGCAACTGAAATCTGCAGGAAGATAGATCTCCAGGAACAGGATTGGCCACCCCTGTACTAGAGTTTTGACTTTATCTACAAGGCTGTGTTTTTGTTCTAATAAGAGTTTGGTAATAATAAGTTCAATCTGTTGAACAGCAGTGGTGGAAAGAGTACTGAAACTTCATACTCAAGTAAAAGAATCATTACTTGCCTAAAAATGTAATGCAGGTTTAGTTAGTTTTCTGTGCAATTTGATTGGATGGGAATCAGAGGACTGATTGTTGTACTTAGGCAATAAATTATATGAAACAAAAAAAATTAAAAAATAAAGTAGTGTCTGCATGTTAAAGGAAAATGGTGTAGTAAAAGTATCGATATGGTACTGAAGTAGAAATACACATTTTTAAAACAATTCCCGAGGAAAAACTACTCAATTATAGTATTTTGAGTATTTGTAATGTTACATCACACCACTGTTGAACAGTAGTATATACACACACTTTAACAAGGAAAACAGGCCGTTATTAAACCTTTGAGGACCAACTTTTATGCCAAATAATCAAAAACAAAGATAAAAAAATAACATTTAGTAATCATTTATTCTCAATCAAGTAGTTCTAAACCATTTTGACTTGATTTCTTCTGTTGAACATAAAAGCAGATATTTTGAAGAATGTTGAAAACCAGTAACCCTTGACTTCCATACAATTTCTTTTTTACTATGGGAGTCAATGGTTGCCGATTTCCAACATTTGTCAAAATATCTTTTTCTGTGTTCCAACAGAAAAAAAAACTGATTTGAAGCAAGTGGATGGTGAATAAATAATAGAATTTTCATTTTCTCTTGAACTCTTTGCTCTGTTTTTTTGTTTCCAGTAAGATGCTGTTTGACACACCTGAAGAAGATGCCAACTACAACCCTCTCCCTGAGGATCGTCCTGGGGGCTTCGCCTGGGGTGAGGGTCAGCGGCTGGGAGGATAAACTCAGCACCTCCTGTGCCTGAATCTTCACGGACATCTCAGAGAGCAAGAGAAAAAAAAATCCTCTCTTTTTTTTCCTTCTTGTTTCTCTCGTGTACAAAAGAACCGAATGCTCCACTCACAGAGCAAGACACGGAGACTTGCAGTTTGTGTGCACTGAGATCACATGCCTCCAAATGTCTGCAAGACCCATAATGCTCCTCCGACTGTGGAAATGGGTTTAACAAAAGAACTGACTTTTTGATAAGTTGCTGTCCTGTACAACAGCCATTACAAATCCAGCAGCTGTGAAAGACAAATACAGTATATATTGATAGCCACCATTTTACTTGTTTTCTTTTTTTTTTTTAATAAATGTATGTACGTTTCAGAGTATCTGTTTTGTTTTTTGTTTTTTCTTCAAAAAGCATTTTGGTAACTCTTTGGGCCGTATCATACACCCGGCTCAAGGTGTGGCGCAATAGTCTTTTGGTAGTTTTAGCTTGGCGCAAGAGTCGTTTTGAGGCGTTGCGCTACGCTGTTTAAATAGCAAATGTATAAGCGCTCATTTGTGCGCCCATAGGCGTTCTGGTCTAAAAAGGAAGGCGTTCTGAGGCGCACTGCTGGCGCGTTGCTATTTTGAGAAACTATAATAGATTTTTTATTAGACCAAAACAAACCCGGTCTAAACTCCAGCGCAGAGTTGCGCCTCGCTTACACACTGCTTAATATGCACAAGAGAGCAATAGGCAAATATCTTTACATAGGAAAAAATTTTAATATTAAGGATATATATAGGATATTATAAGAATAGATATAAGATATAAATATAAAGGATTAAAATATTACAAAACATATTATTTTCTAGCCTACATAAATATGAAAAATCACTGCTTTTATGTCTTCTTCATCTCGGGAGGCTTTTTCAGTTCATTCATAACAATTAGCTTTTGTATAATATTATTATTATTATTAGCAGTATTATTTATTATATCCATATTTATATTTGTTTTATTAAAAACAAGCTTAGATTTGTCCACCTGTCAGGTTTTAGACCTTATGGGGCACAGCATGTGTTTCAGGATATAACTCAGGTTTTTGAGCACATTTTGTTATTATTGTATATTTATTCGTTTGCTGGAAATTAGAACTGAATTTAGAAATAGTTTTGAAATGAATATTTGCGATTAACAAACAAAATTATTTATTTATAGACTAGATGATGTCTGTGCGTAAAGGTTTCCCTATCCAAGAGCCAAAGTGAAAGTAGATCCATTACTTCTCATTCTCATGTAGTAGATGCTCTAAAAAAAAACTGTTAACTGTTTGCTTGTGAAATGCTCATTTTTTTCCCACTTAGACTTACTTTGCTTCCTCTAAATAGCGAATGCGCTCTTGGCGCGACGCAGCTGGCTCTTAAAGGGAATGGGAGATGAGACTCTAATTGGTTTATTCTCAAAACACACCTATAACTCATTAAGAAAATAAACTCAACCCTTTTAGACCATGCACCACGGCGCAAAGCAGATTTTCCCGTCCTTAAATTAGCAAAAACGCATTCTGACACGCCCTGAAAGCGTTTGCGCCCTGCGTTTTGCGCTCTGCGCATGGACCGTCAAAATAGAGCCCTTTATATTAACTACACACTGAATCATTTATTAAGCATTAGCATCTAGTGAATTGAATACCTGTATCTGTTAAGCATTAACTCTACATTAATAAACATTAGTAAGCAGTTTATATCTGCAGCTACAAATGCTGTAATATTGACTTATAAGCACACGGATAATGTGCTCAATGATTCTGTTTTCATACTTTTGCGATTTACTTTTCATGACAATATTTTACAGCTTCTTTCTTAGAGTTGTGTCTTTGTGGACTTTGTTGTCCAAATATCTCAAAATTCTTAAATCACGAAGAATTCTTCTCTTGAAGCATTAAAAGTTTTGTTTTCAGAAGAAAATGGTCAAAATTAAGCAACATTTTCATTAAAACAAGTTAAATATTCAGCTTAAAATTATGTTGAAAGGAGAAACTCACTTCATTTAGGCCAGATATGTCAAACTCATTTCCTGGAGGGCCGCAGCCCTGCACGGTTTAATTCCAACCCTAATTAAACACACCTGATCAAACTAATTAAGTAATTCAGGCTTGTTTGAAACCTATAGGTTAGTGTGTTGAAGCAGGGTTGGAACTAAACTGTGTAGGGCAGCGGCCCTCCAGTAATTGAGTCTTGAAAATGCTTCTAGATTTAAGAATGTTTAGATATTTGAACTGTACACAACCTGACAAAAGTCTTGTCGTCGATCCCAGTTGTAAGAGCAACAAATAATAACTTGACTTCATCGATCATTTGGAAAAGTGGCAGAAGGTAGATCTTTCTGATGAATCATCTGTTGAACTGCATTACAAATACTGCAGAAGACCTATTGGAATCCACATGGACGCAAGATTCTCAGAGAAATCAGTCAAGTTTGGTGAAGGAAAAATCATGGTTTGGTGTTACTTTCAGAATGGAAGTGTGCGAGAAATCTGCAGAGTGGATGGCAACATCAACAGCCTGAGGTATCAAGACATTTGTGCAGCCCATTACATTACAAACCACAGAAGAGGGTATATGTATACTTCAGCCTCCACATCAAAGCTCCTGAAAGCAAAAAAGGTCAAGGTGCTCAAGGATTGGCCAGCCCAGTCACCAGATAATGAACATTATCGAGCATGTCTGGGGTAAGATGAAGGAGGCATTGAAGATGAATCCAAAGAATCTCGATGAACTCTGGGAGTCCTGCAAGAAAATTTTTTTGCCGTTCCAGATGACTTTATTATTAAGTTATTTGAGTCATGCAGAGATGTATGGATGCTGTTCTCCAAGCTCATGGGAGTCATACACAATATTAAATATGTTTCTACTGCACCATGACTTTTCTATACTGTACATTATTTCTGTTAAGTGACAAGATTTTTGTTTATCAAAGTCAGACCTTACTGTCCTAATTAAATGGTAAAAAATCAAGGCATGATTAAATTTTAATTTGGTGAAATAAGCGTAATCTAGAGGCCTTTGCCTTTCATATCAGCCACTTCCGATTCCAAATGATCAACTAGAAGTAAAGTTATTATTTGTTCCTCCTAAAACTTGAACAAGACTTTTGTCAGGTAGTGTAGAAGCAAGACAGAAACTCTGTTACACTATTTAAGACCATGGGGTTTCCACAATATTTTTTTTTTTTTGAGATTTCGAAACTACTTCATGAGAAAATTACCAGTTAAAATGATATTTCAGTTAGACGTATTTCCTTCGTAAAAATAGGAAGTGAAAGATTGCATCACTTTAGAGAATGTAATCACACTTGTAATAGATTGCACAGATAGTACTTGTTTCTGCTCAAATAATGACTTAGTAAATGTACAGCTGATATCTGGGTTCTTTTATATGTCCAGCTAAAGCTAAAGTATAGAGTTACTGTTGATATGCCCTCTATCCAACATCATCGTAATCCTCGCTGTCGTCAGGGTTTTCAACATCATCGTAATCCTCGCTTTCTTCATCCTGACTTTTTATCTCCACAGCGTACTCTGGAATGAAGACAGGCTGTTGGGGAAAAGCTGGTGTTGAATCTTCAATCTCCACGTAGTCCGGCACAGTCGGTATATCTTCGTAACTGGCACCCACTGTAAATTTAGACATCAAACAGTTTACACTTCTGCTGCAGAATTAGATTTATAGTTGTTTTTAAAGTTCCAGTGAAATAAAAATAACATTTTTAAAGGACTTCTATAAGCTATCAGTGACAAAATTCATGTTTAGAAGATATAAGTGATATAAACATGTAAAGTTTGCAGTTAGTCACTTCCACTTAAATGGATCAATGTTTTTTTTTACATCACCTCCTAGGTAGCAAAGATTTCTGGCCCAGATTTGGCAGAAAACTGGCACAGCAGGCATTTATTTGACACTGGCATACAGCATGTGGGCCAAACATGGTCCGGGTTTGGCAGAGGTGGCACCGTCTTTGAGGCGGCACACAAGACTTGGGCCATATGTCAAATGTAGTATTTGGCCAGATTGTAAAAATATATACTTAGACCATGTAATAGGGCGTATCATGATCTACTTTACATTATTTAGGAGTAAAGAAATAAATTTTACCAGTCAGGTCGCTTAGAGAAAAAGCACGTCCATAGCACACCTATGGGTTTGCTATGGGCATGGATTAACTGATTAATAAAGGGACTATGCCGAAAAGAAAATGAATGAATGAATCTAAAAATATATTCCATATTTTAATATTTTATATTCATTCATTCATTTTCTTTTTGGCTTAGTCCCTTTATTAATCTGGGGTCGCCACAGCGGAATGAACCGCCAACTTATCCAGCATATGTTTTACACAGCGGCTGACCTTCCAGCCGCAAACCATCACTGTGAAAATACTTATTTTTAAGTTCAAATATTTCGAAAAAATAAATGTTTACAATATTTTAATTAAATTACAATTAAACCAAACACATTTGAATCAACTTCATATAGAGTAGATTTAGGCAACTAAAATCTTATGAAATTTAGACTAAAACTAAAATGATTCAGAAGACTAAAATATGAATAAAATAAAATGGAATTTTAGATAACGGACTAGGACTAAATCCAAATTTGCTGTCAAAACTAGCACTGGTGAGTAACCTGTTGCCTTAATATACTAAAGTAAATGAACTACACAAAAAATGATTCGCTCAAACTACTTTTTTCAAGTGAATTAAAACAACACAATTATTTCTGGTTCAGTCCATTTAAATGTGTAAAAACACTAAAAGTTGACCTAATCGATTTATGTTGTGACAAGATAAAGTAATAATGTGTTGAACCCTGCATTTTTTACAGTGTATACTTATAAAAAAAAATTGAGTTACAACAAAATTACTTTACAACAAGGAAATGCAGTCCCAAATGATGTTTAACAGAGCAAGGAATTTTTCACAGTATTTCCTATAATATTTTTTCTTCTGGAGAAAGTCTTATTTGTTTTATTTAAGCTAGAATAAGAGCACTGAGCAGTTTTTATTTAAAAAAAAAACATTTTAAGGTTAATATTACTAGCCCCTTTAAGCTATATTTTTTTCGATAGTCTACAGAACAAACCATCATTATACAATAACTTACCTGATTACCCTAACCTGCCTAGCTAACCTAATTAACTTAGTTAAGCCTTTAAATGTCACTTTAAGCTGTATAGAAGTGTCTTGAAAAATATCAAGTCAAATATTTACTGTCATCATGGCAAAGATAAAAATAAACCAGTTATTAGAAATGCTTCATAAAACTAGAAATGTGTTGAAAAAAATCTGCTCTCCGTTAAACAGATATTGGGGGAAAAATAAATAGGGGGCGAATAATTCAGGGGGGCTAATAATTCTGACTCCAACTGTACATCAACATACTGAAGTTAAAGTCTCAGCACCTTGTGGTTCACACAGACTTCAAGCTTCAACATTTCTTCACATTTTAGTTACTCACAATTTTTAAGAACAGTTAACTTGTCACTTTTAAGGCAACAGATTTACTCCCTTATTTATAAAGCAGTTTTTACAATGTACATCCTGTTTTTTTGTTGTAGAACTATGACCTTTATGACATGACGGCTACATAACCTAACTTCCACAGATTCATTTATGTTACCATTGTGTTTGTGTGTTGATAGTGTTACCATAGAAAGCTCAGTGTCTAGTCACATGAACTGTTTGGAGTATGATCATGTTATCCTCTCAAAATACATGCAATTATGACATGGCATGAAATCAGCACTTCTGTGGCATTGCTTTGTATGTATTTGCTTTCCAACTTATTATTTTTCTTCTTTATTCATATGATTGTTCATAAAAGCAAAGTCAGTGTAGGAGAACTGAAAATAAAAGAATAATGAAAATACCCACCAGAGTTTGTGGACAGGAATTGATCTCTTGGAGGTAAGGGTGGTTTTTCATTTCCTAGGTCTTTGTTATGTGCTTGGTTGTCCCTTTATTGTAAAAAATATAAAAAGTAAATTAAAACTTTTTGGTTTAGAAAAAGGATGTGGTCTTAAATCAGCTGAACCCACTTACACTGGTTTTGAGTCTGAGTGACCATAATGATTTGTTTTTGCTTGTGTACTGTACCAAGAAGCTGCAAAAAAAAAAAAGAGGAAACAAAGACTCAAGGATTAAAATCAGAAACAAAATTAATCAAGTCACAAAATTCCCCCTCCAGTGAAATGCTAAATGCTAAGAATTTTACCAGTAAGAAAAGATTTTCAGCTGCCCTATTAAAATTGAGTTAATAAATGTAATAATACAATAATAATAATTTTGTTTGAATATTTGTTTATTTATTTTTAAAAATATTCATTCACAAAACCTATAACCCTTACCAAGAACAAAACAAAACATAGCTGTCCATTACTTCAGCCTAAAATAAAAATATTTTAAATAAACAAATATAGTTCAGGAGTGATTTCTAAAAACCATCGCTAGCCAGCTAAGGTCGCAAGTTACATGGTTACAAACATAGTTTGTTGATTTGGCATTTACCAAATCCATTGTTCCAACAAACTTTCACAACCTTGTATGCTTGCAACTAGACCTCTAGAGTTGTTATTAGAAACATAGTTCCTGGCTGTGTTCTATTCCCAGTTATCTTCCCTATCTCCCCTACATTTAATCTAGGAGGAATTTGAAAAAGAAAATTATTAAAGTCATCACTCTTAGGTGTAATTTGCTTTCAAAGAATTTTTACAGTTCAGTTTTAGGAATCTTCATGTTTACAATTGCGCTCCCTTCACGCAATTTTTGAAAACATTGATGTAAAAGTTTCAAAGTCTACTTTTACAATTTGACACATGCAAACCACAGCAGAAAAGTTCTAACCAGCAGGCTCATGTCATATACAGTACAGATACTTAATAAAAAACCTACTATAAATTAAAAGCGTTAACATATGACATATATTCATTCATTCATTTTCTTGTCTGCTTAGTCCCTTTATTAATCCGGGGTCACCACAGCGGAATGAACCGCCAACTTATCCAGCAAGTTTTTACGCAGCGGATGCCCTTCCAGCCGCAACCCATCTCTGGGAAATATCCACACACACATTCACACACACTCTCATACACTACGGACAATTTAGCCTACCCAATTCACCTTTACCGCATGTCTTTGGACTGTTGGGGAAACCGGAGCACCCGGAGGAAACCCACGCAAAGGCAGGGAGAACATGCAAACTCCACAAAGAAATGCCAACTGAGCCGAGGTTCGAACCAGCGACCTTCTTGCTGTGAGGCGACAGCACTATCTACTGCGCCACTGCCTCGCCGTATGACATATATATTTTTGTTTTTACAAGCTTTGTAGATGTAACGTAAATTCTGCTTTTAAATAATAGGTCACCTATAGCTTTCGTCATGAGCCATTGCAATGTCATACATTTTTTCAAAGTGCACTGCAAAAGTGAGTACAATTGTCAATATAAAGATCGCTAAAACTGAACAGTAAAAATACTTTAAAAGCAAATTACACCTAAGAGAGATGACCTTAATGTTTTTTTTTAATCATTTCTAATTTAAATGTTGGATTGTTCAAAACCGAAAGGGCAATGGGGGTATAACTGGAAATAGAACAGAGCCAGGAACTATGCTTCTAGCTACAGCTCCAGAGGTGTAGCTGAAAGCATACAAGTTTGCGATGCAGTTTGCTAATATTCAATGGAATGACGCATTTGGGAAACTCCAAATCAACGAACAATGTTTGTAACGATGGAACTTGCGACTAACGAGGGTTTTCAGAAACGCAACCCTGATTAGGTAGCTATACATGAACAAAGGAATATTAAGATCTGTTAAAGAAAGATTTAAGATCTGCAACACAACATTTCAGTAGATTAAAGACTTTTTAAGGCCTAAAGTTTAGCTTTTTCGGTAGATTTAAGAGTTTTTAATGCCTAAAATATTGCTTTTTTCAGAAGATTTAAGACTTTTTAAGGCCTAAAATATAGCTTTTTCAGTAGATTTAAGATTTTTCAGTGGATTTAAAACTTCTTAAGGCCTTTATTTGAGCTTTTTCAGTAGATTTAGGATTTTCAGTAGATTTAAGACTTTTTAAGGCCTAACTTTGAGCTTTTTCAGTAGATTTAAGAAATTTTCAGTAGATTTAAGACATTTTCAGGCCTAAAATTAAACTTTTTCTGTAGATTTAGATTTTTCAGTGGATTTAAGACTTCTTTAGGCCTAAATTTGAGCTTTTTAAGTAGATTTAAGATTTTTCTGTGGATTTAAGACTTTTTAAGGCCTAAATTTTAGATTTTGTAGTAGATTTAAGACTTTTTAAGCAAATTTAAGACTTTTTAAGGCCTAAAAATGAGCTTTTTCAGTGGATTTAAGACTTTTTCAGTGGATTTTAGACTTTTAAGGCCTAAAATTTGTTTTTGTTTTTTTCATAATATTTAAGACTTTTTAAGCAAATTTTAGACTTTTTAAGGCCCAAAACTTAGCTTTTAAGATTTGAGACATTTTAAAACTTTTTAAGCCTTAACCCTTTTTTTATTTGTCTAATACTCTAACTTGCCTGGTTAACCTAATTAACCTAGTTAAGCCTTTAAATGTTACTTTAAACTGTATAGAAGTGTCTTGAAAAATATCTAGAGAACTATTATCTAGTCATCATGGCAAAGATAAAATAAATCAGTTATTAGAAATGAGTAATTAAAACTATTATGATTAGAAATGTGTTGAAAAAATCTTCACTCCATTAAACAGAAGTTGGGAAATAAAATATACAAGAGGGCTAATTTCAGCTGTATCTGGTATCAAATGGGTTATTATATGTCGATCACACCTCACAATAATTCCATTAGTTAATGATAGTTAATGTATTTACCAAGAATGAACAAAACAACAGTGAACAAAGCGTTTATTAATAATAGTTCAACATTTACTAATGTGTTATTAAAACCCAAAGTTGTGCTTGATATCCTCAGTGACAATGACTTTATGTTCAATAACTAACATAAAAAAAGAAATAAATACTCTAATGAATATGTTGTTCATTGTTCGTGTGAGTAAATACATTAACTGATGGAAGCTACTGTATGTACAATAAGTCAGTCTGTTATAATGAATGCAGAGACCATAGTCATATAAGGAAGTGGTAATAATTGTGGCTTATTTCTTGGTAGGTTTCTAAATCTATTTATGTGAAATCACAAGGTTGTTTTTGCAGCAGTGTGTTTTGCACTTCAGTTTTTAGCAAAAGAAAAACTGACTCGCTTTGACCTGCTGTTTTGTATCACGACAAATTTCAGATGTCACATATACTTTGTGGTTAGCCACAGCCATTAAAACACATTAGTTGACATACAGTTTAAGTCAGAATTATTAGCCCCCTTGAATTATTACCCCCCTTGAATTATTAGCCCCCTTGTTTATTTTTTCCTTGTTTTCGGATTAACAGATTTTTTCAAAACATTTCTAAACATAATAGTATTAATAACTCATTTCTAATAATTAATTTATTTTATCTTGGCCATGATGACAGCAAATAATATTTGACTAGATATTTTTCAAGACACTTCTAAACACCTTAAAGTGACATTTAAAGGCTTAACTAGGTTAATTAGATTAACTAGGCAGGTTAGGGTAATTAGGCAAGTTGTTGTATACTGATGGTTTGTTCTGCAGACTATGGAAAGGGGCTAATAATTTTGTCCTTAAAATGGTGTTTAAAAAATTAAAACTTGCTTTTATTCTAGCCAAAATAAAACAAATAAGACTTACTCCAGAAGAAAAAAATATTATCAGACATACTGTGAAAATTTCTTTGCTCTGTTAAACATCATTTGGGGAAAAAAAATGTAAAAAGAAAAATTTCATAGGGGGCTAATAATTCTGACTTCAACTGTATTTATACACTTGTGTGCAGACCAGCCTGTAAAACCTATCTAGAAATTAACAGTTTTCAATATTTTGAGATTATTATTTATTTTCTCCCATTTATTCATGTTTTTGAATTGGATTATGGGATCTCTGTCTTTCCTCCACACTGTCAAACCCAACAGTCAACTTTATCAAATGAAATGAGTGTAGCTCACTCAAAATTGACTGAAAGTTAATTCTACTCATTAAAAAAGAGTTTTGAACTCAGTGTTAAAGGTAATAAGTTAATTAAATACCTCATTACTTCAAATTAAAAGTAGTAAAAGTTCACAGTACTCAAATAGATTAGTTTTTTTTTTTTTTTTTTTACTCAAATGGTTTGTAGCAATCGGTTTCCTCAAATGGTTTGAGTTATCTTTACTTTTTGGGTTTTACAGTGCAAGAGCTGATGAAGTTTGAAAAATTGAAATGTGAATTTATTGATATTTTTACTATTGTTGAAGTCATTTGTTGTTGTAAATTACAGTACAAAGCCCTGAAAACAAACTACTAGCACTTATTCTGTTATTTTAAAGACTCACTTCTTTATTTCTATTGTAAAATATATCATGTTTATATTGTAGATCATACTAAAATGTCTATAAAAGTCAATGTGTTAAGCTGCACAGTTGATTTTCAACATATAAAGTATACAGAGCAGAAATCAAGGTCCCATGAAGCAATTCACAACTGTAAAGAACGTTAAAAAAAAAAACTTAACAAAATACAGAACCTATTTATTAACACAGTGTTTCTCAACCACATTCATGACTACCGACATTGCATGTTTTTGTCTCCTTTGTCTGTCACACCCATTACAGTTCTTTCAGTCTAATGAGCTGATGATATGAATCAGGTGTGTTTGGTTAAGGAGACATGGAAAATGTGCAGATCTGGTGGTCATCCAGGAATGTGGTTGAGAAACACTGAATTACAGGTATTTTTTTCACCATGTATATACAGCTGTCAGATGTATTTTACCTCTTCTGCGGAGACAAATGTTGATGAAGATGAAAATAATCACTATGATCACAGACACCAGAATGATGGCTAGGATTAAAACAGCCCAGAAGTTCTTTTGTAAGAAATCCATCTATAAAATAAAACAAAGGCAGCTGTCAGATTCAATGACATCACCAACAGATTAAAGGGGACCTATTCCCTGCTATTCAGAACATTGGTTTTCGATCATGAAGACTACAGAGGATTTGAGAATTACATCAGATTTTTGACATAGGAATTTAAATTACCAAAGGTGCCACAATATCAAATCATGAGCAAAATTTTAAACTCTTTTACAGAACTTCTTTAACACCGGTTCATCTAACAAAAGATATATCCTAAAGGTTCTCAATGTTGTTTTAAGAGCAAATCCAACGTACTGTGATGCATATATTCTTGGGCTGTGAAATGATTAAGACATACTGGAAAGAAATCCACAAATTAGTACAAAAGTTTATTGGTAAACCTTTTGCCCTATCTCCAGTTATTTATCCTCTGGATTGTAAAACTGCTCTACACCTTAGTCATGGACTAGAATCTGTGTTACACTTTTGTATGTATCTAGCAAGAAAATGTATTCTTCTGTTGTGGTCCTCTTCTAACATTCCTTCGGTCAATATGTGGATAAATCAGAACTGACTTAAATCTTGTGTCAGAAATCTGACGATTTCTGGCATATCTGGAATCTTCTGGGAGTTTTTGGAGAATGTATTTAGAAAGACTGTTTTTATTTTATTATTTTTATTTATTGTTTGTTAGTTTTACCCTACACAAAAGACCTATTTTCACAGGATCTAAATTAAATCAACCAAAATTAAATTAAATCTGCTGTCCCCAGAGTCTGTATGTGAAGTTTCACCTCAAAATACTACCCAAATAATTTTTTATAACTCTGTGAATCTGCCCCTTTTAGATTTTGATCCAAATTGTGCTGTGGTGACTTTAAATTCAAATTCTTTACAAAAAGGGCAGAGCTACAAACTCAACATTTATAATACTGTTAGCCAGGGATGAACCGAATATTTAGCCACCAAAAATTTGTTTTTCAGCCACGGAAACAGTATGTTGTGATGACGCAAACAAAAACAGCCAACATAGGCTCATTCTAAAAATGTAGCCCTATATACGTTTACGGAGATTGTGAATTATAAAGCCAGACGTATGTATGGCTGCATTTCATCTTTAAAATGAATGATACGGGGTGATATGATGCTGTTCCTTTTCTTGCTTCCTAGCTGACTACTTACTACTACTGACTTACTACTTACCATATGGATGGCTTTTCCGCTGTTACCTGTTTGCCCAGTAGCTAAAGAACTAAATAGCAGGGTAAGAATGTGGTAAAATCTGAAAATGTGGTAAAAATCAGGCCCCTCGCCCCCTTTTCTTTTGCTGGGTTGCTTTTTAAAATAGTGCGGTTGGGTTTAGAGAAGGGGAGGGCAGGGGGATCAGTTGGTTAATCAGTCAATAAATCAGTCAGTTGACAGCGGCCTCTGGTGGATTTCTGGTGGAATGCATACACAGCGGTCTCTAATGGATTTGTGAAAACAAAAACTGCAAAAAACATAGCTCCTGGGACGTTTTTGGTACTCTCCAGAAAAGTAAATAGTGGTTCATTTTCAGAATGAGCCTGGGTTAAATAAAAAGTAAGTTCACAGACAACGTACAGTTAATCAGCCATATTTGTGATTTGTGATTTTTGTGGCCTCTGGTGGATTTGAGAAAACAAACACAGTAAAAAAACGTAGTTCCTGGGACGTATTTTTTCTCTTCAAAAATCTATATTGGGGTCCGTAATCAGTATGAGCCTGGGTTGGAAACAGCAGCCTGCACGTGTTTGTCAGAAGCTGCTTGTATGCAATGTTCCATCTACTCTGATCTATTCTGCACTTCTTTGCGACTATAAAAATATAAATCAATATAAACATAATATAAAGATCACTATGCTACTTGAATGTGGAAAATAGCAGCGTGCACGCAAACTGATCCAGACCACGGTGGATGCAGAGACTGATGCCTTCACATGCACGCACAAGCAGAGCTGAAGCAGTGTGTGCACAGTGCATAGGTAGAGCAGAAGCAGCATCAGGTGTTTGCTTTTCACACCGAAAGTGTCTGCAGCTGATCGGTGGCTGTTGCACAGATCAATCAATTTCTGTCTTTTCTATCTAGTTACCTATCAATCTCTCTCTCTCTCTCTCTCTCTCTCTCTCTCTCTCTCTCTTTCTATATATATATATATATATATATATACACACACACACACACATATATATATATATATATATATATATATATACGTTTTCCGAATGAGCCATATTTGTGATTAGACTACACTTTTATATTTACTTTTCATCTACTCCAACGCTCATGGCATCTTCATCCCATGCTGTTTTTTTAATTTGCAACATTTTACAAACTATATTGATCATAGAAACTGTATGCTTCTCAAGCTTTATGAGGAGTGTCATTCATGTATTTTCACGTGTACTCAGAAGCAGGGGCGGACTTGATTTGGGGGCCCTAAGCAAACCCAGGTATGCAAACCTAGCATTAAAACTCAAAACACTCTCTTTCTCTACAGATATTTTTTTTCTCTGTAGATTCTGTGTTTTTGTTGTTTTTTTTTGTAAACAAACCGCATGTTAAAATATATTTTAAGTGAAACCTTTATCTGTAAAATAAAAAAATAAATTGAAAAAATAAAGTCATCAGCTGACCGTATTCCTCCATACGGACGGCTTTTCCTCTGTTACTAGTTTGTCCAGTGGTTCACCATATACATCGGCGGACGCAAAGAGAAGTTGACCACGATGATAGGGTTCAAATGTGGCAAAAAAAAGCAGATAAGACTTCAAACAAAAGCCAAAATATAAAATTAAGGAGGACGGCTTTTCTTTTTCTGGATTGCTTTTTAAAACTGTCGGTTGGGTTTAGGGAAGTGGGTGGTTGGGTCAGTCGGTGCTTTTGAAAATACTACTAGGTGGGTTTAGGGAAGGAGGGGGTGAGTCAGTCGATCAGTCAGTCAGTCAACAGTGGCCTCTGGTGGATTTACACAAAAAAAGCAGCCGCAAATGGCACTCACGAGAGAAATTTGAGCTCTCAAAAATTGTAAACAGTGGCCTCTGGTGTATTTGCAAAAAGTACAAAAAATGTAGCTCCTGTGATGTATTTGGCGCTCTCCAAAAATGTATATAGGAGTACGTTTTCAGAATGAGCCATATTTGTAATTAGATTTTAATATTTGCATGCACAGTACAGAAGGAATGTTTCACTATTCTTAGGGGCCCCTGATTTTGAAAAGAAGTAATAACAGTAAAGTCTTAAATCTAAAAATAGACAGATTTTACAACATATGATAGAAAATTCATAAAAGAGCTAAATGATTAATATAGGTGTCTTTGCATCGGTTGGGTATCCCTAATTCCTCATGGTCCTAAGTGGCTACTTACCTCGCTTATTGGTTAAGGCCGCCCCTGCCAAAAAAAACAATCAAAACATTTTGTTTTTGATCATCAGCATGATGTAAGCCTACTGGTCAAAAGTTTTGGGTCAGTATAATTTTTAAAAGTTTTAAAATAAGCTTCTTCTGCTCACCAAGAATGCATTTATTTAATCAAAAATACAGTAAAATGGTAAAATTGTGAAATGTTATTGCACTATAAAATATCTGTTCAAAAGTAGTTTATCATTTAAAAATTTATTCCAGTGATTTTAAAGATGAATTTTCTGCTTCATTACTCCAGTCTTCAAAGTCACATAATCCCTCAGAAATTATTCTATAATTAATTAATTAATTAATTAGTTAATTATTATTATTCTTATTATTATTATTATTATTAGTATTATTATTATTATTATTAATAATAATAATAATATTGATATTAATAATAATAATAATAATATTTTTATTATTAATAAAATAAAAGCAGTAATGACTGGAATAATAATTTCATTTGAAACTACATACAAGAAGAAAGCGGTTTTTACAATGTTCTTAAATATTTATTAATTACATTTTTTTAGGTTTAATAAATGCCACCTTGATGAACAGAATAGTATTCATTAAAAAAATAAAAATTAAAAAAAAAAAACTGACCCTACACTTTTGACCATTAGTGTATATAATAATCATTTTACAATAAAGTTTTAATGAAATTTATACATGATAACATTAGTGTGCAAAATTTGTTACTTTTTACTGTAATAAGTCCTCATCCACAAAAGTGATAACCCATTCTTGTTAAATTTTTTTTTATAATTTGTAATCGATTTATTCTTTGAAACTTTAATAACAATTTATGCAATTGCAAAGCCTTTATTTTAGTAAGGTTATACACAGTCAGAACCATATTATGGTACTAAGAATTGGCATAATTTTTATCAGTGTTGGGGGACCTGGTGGCTCAGTGGTTAGCACTGTCACCTCACAGCAAGAAGGTTGCTGGTTCGAGTCCCAGCTGGGTCAGTTGTCATTTCTGTGTGAAGTTTGCATGTTCTCCTGGTGTTATTGTGGGTTTCCTTGGGTTGGTCCAGTTTCCCACACAGTCCAATGACATGCGGTATAGGTGAATTGAATAAACTAAATTGAACTTAGTGTATGACTGTGAATGAGTGTAGATGTTTCCCAGTACTAGGTTGCAGCTGGAAAGGTATTTGCTGTGTAAAGCATATGCTGGATAAGTCGGCAGTTTATTCTGCTGTGATAATCACTGTTAATTAAAGGGACTGAGCCAAAGGAAAATGAATGAATATTTCGATGTTTTGATTTTCGGCCTTGCTTTCCTCTTTCTTGGGTTTATTGGTTTCTGCCAAGAACTGTCATTTCAGTGCATCCCAACTATTAGTCACTCACATTGTCTTTAGTACTGTGTGAAAACTCGAATGGTGGACGGCTGCTTCTCACTCAGGGCTGTTTATGCTAATTAGGGAGAGATCATCACTGATGGGCAGAACTTTCCCCCCTGATGAGATGTACAAAGGTAGAATGTCAATCTGTAGATTGTTTTTATGGTGTGATTATAAAAATAGAGTTAATTAATTTTAACCATAGACAATGACTGTTTGCACACATTATTTCCACATAACTGTGTTAAAACCCTTTAATGAAGTGATTTTTGCATAATAGGTCCCCTTTAAAGTACATTGCTTATGTCATTTTTAATAAAAAAAACCTTACTGCAACTTCCTCCTATTTCTCCTTTTCAGCTCTGTTTAAACACATGCTCTTGAAGATTTCCAGTCAGCTGTGTTTCCTGGGTGGAGAGGGAGATTTTTAACTGTGTTTGTTTTTAATTACAAAAAACCAAATGCAGTCGTTTTCATTTGTTATATTTCAGATTTATCTCAATTCTTCATGCTCACAGCACTCATCCTGCGAGCGAACAAGTTTTATATGCGATTAACGCTGACTTCCTGTGTGTGGTTCTTTTCTTAGCACTGGCTCTTGTGATGCGACCAAGTGCGTTTCACTCCAGTGACTTTCTGTTTTTTGAAAATTAATTTGTGTTAATATTTTTTTAAAGTAATGCAGAATATTTTTAACAGAGTTAAGAAGTATAAAGTGTCATTATTTTCAGCGATCTTTAAGGTTTATGTTAGATTAAGAAAAAAGGTTATAATAACTTATAATATGTTGCAAAAATATGATAATAAAAGACGTCCTTAATTTAGATTGTTTTTAAATTGGTCTTAATAATATTGTTGAACTATTAAGATAAACCTCCCACAAACTTTTGCCATTTTATTTTATTATTTATATTTATTTATTTAAACTTCCTACAAACTTTTGTCATTATATATATATATATATATATATAGTATTGTTGGGTTCATAATAAACAAATAATCAAACAATATAATATTAGATAAATAAACATTAATGGAAAACAATCAGATAAATAAAAATTTATATAAATAACACTAAATATAATAATAATGATTAAATAAGATAAATATTTATCCAACATTAGATAAAGCATGAATTATTGATTAAAAGAAGTTAATACATTTGTCAGTCAATAAATAAAGTAGTAATACTATTCATAATAACAATAGCTATATTGTTATTTATAATACTATTATTATTGTTATTACTATAATTAAAAAAATGTTTATTAAAACAAATAAACTATTATGCGATTGTTTTGTTAAATTAATAATAAAATCTGATTAATGCAAGTAAATCATAAGAAATTGATAAATAAACATAAAGTTAATGTACACTGTAAAAAATGCTGGGTTCCATATAATCGATTTGTGTTGGGACAACAAGAAGGAATAACATGAACTTATTAGTAGGACCAGACAGAATCTGCGAACATTATTTGCTCTATCTGCGCAAAATTTTGTTAAAAATCTGAGGATATATGCTGAATGATTTTGAGAGTATCCTAACTAAAACTTTAATATATGAACTAAAAAGTAATACCATTTTAACTTGTATTTAATGTTAACAATGCAAATCCAATTAGATCCACTTTTTTGTTTGGTAAAACAAAGCATGTGCGGTTCATGCATGCATAAATACAGTTGAAGGCAGAATTATTAGCCCCCCTGAATTATTTGCCCCCTGTTTTTTTTCCCACCAATTTCTGTTTAATGGAAAGAAGTTTTTTTTTTCAACACATTTCTAAAGATAAAAGTTATAATAACTCATTTCTAATAACTGATTTATTTTATCTTTGCCATGATAACAGTAAAAAAATATTTTACTGGATATTTTTCATGACATTTCAATACAGCTTTAAGTGACATGTAAAGGCTTAACTAGGTTAATTAGGTTAACTAGGCAAGACAGGGTAATTAGGCAAGTTATAGTATAACAATGGTTTTGTTCTGTAGACTATCTGAAAAGTCTAGTTTAAAAGGGCTAATAATTTTGGCCTTAAAATGTTTTAAAAAAAATAAAAACTGCTTTTATTCTAGCCGAAATAAAACAAATAAGACTTTTTCCAGGAGAAAAAAATATTGGGGGGTTAATGATTCTCACTTCAAATATATATTTATTAAAAAAATACTATTTTAGATCCATTTGTCATAGTAATTCTATAACAGCATGATTAACTTTATAAATGCCTTTACATTTTAGGACTGTGGTTCTTCAGGCAAAGTTTATTATAATTTGCCTAAACCATATCTGGGACTTGATAATAAGTTTAGTTTTTAGATAAACTTAATTAACATTTGATTATTTTATTTTTATTTTTTTTTATTTGATCACTCTGAAAAAATCTTGATTCTTTAAAATACTAGAAATGAACTCGTCACGGTTTTCATTTATGTAGACAGAAGCCTTTCATTTAGAGTATCATTTATGTTGGCTGTCATGTTTGAAAATGCAGTAACACAAGAAGTAATAATTACCTTTGCCTGTTGTGTCGATCACATCAGCCTTTCCACATATTCATCCGATTTCAGAAGTGTGGGTTTATTTCCACTAGAACTAAAGTTGTTCAAATCGTCCTGTTCCTCTGCCCACCCATCAGTCCTTCTTCCAAAGAAGCTGCTGCTTTAATGACTCAGGAGTGTGTCAGTCAGCTTTGTCCATCGTTTCAGTGTTCTATATTTTATTTTTATTAACTGCTTTGGAGAGCTGAACTCGAGAGAGAGAAACACTGACTGAGGGTACAATACAGAAATAGTACACTTCTGCTCTTCTGTAGAGAACTGAATCCAGCCATGTGATTCGCTGTGAGACCCTATGTGCATTTGTAGTGGGCGTGGCTTCTGTGTACTTGCCGCTGTATTTGTTTATTAATTTTGTAGCGTGGTGGGTGTGGTTTACGTGAAATATTCAGTGGTTGGTAATTGATTTTGCGTTGGCTTGTGCGTTGGGTGTTAAGAAAGAGAAAGAGAGAGAGAGAGAGAGAGAGAGAGAGAGAGAGAGAGAGAGAGAGAGAGAGAGAGAGAACTAAATTAGTAGTTCTCCTTTTTTTTAATACAACTAAAATCCAGGCGTCGAATAGGCTCAACTAAAAAAACGTTTCTAAGTGCGTGGTTTATTTATTTATTTATTTTTAGTTTGTTTGTTTGTTTGTTTGTTTATCTATTTTTTATTCATTTTATTTATTAATTAATTCATTTATTATTTGTTTGTTTGTTTGCTTGATTGAGTGATTCATTGTTTGTTTGTTTGTATGTTTGTTTGTTTGTTTGTTTGTTTGTTTGTTTGTTTGTTTGTTTTATTTGCTTTATTTATTTATTTGTTTATTTTTATTTTTTTATTTAACTATTTTTTTAGTTTACTGTGGTTTATAATTTGTTTGTTTGTTTGTTTTGCTGTCTTTTTATTTTATTCTGCCTGTAATTTTAGCATTTGTACACATCCACTGCACATATAGGCTACATTTGTAATTATGTTCATATCTATCTGCATACTTCTGATTGTTAATAGCAACCTGTACAAATATTCATCTAATGTAAATCTCTGATCATAGTTAATACAACCTGTAATAATGTTCATAGTACATCCATCTGTAATAATTACCCATAGTTTTTCTATAATTGCACTTTATATCTTATTTCTATATCCTGCACTTGCTGCTATTGTACTCCTGGTTAGACTGCAGATAAAAATTTTGTATTCAAGTTTTTGTTTGTTACTTTATAGTGGATGTGCATTAACTAAATTACTTCAATTTGCACCTGCTCAGGTGTTTTAAATGCAACGTCAGCAATTTTGTTAGGTTATATTGGGTGTAGGCATATATGACAGTATCACGATATTGGGGTCACTGCTCTAAAATTTGTTCTTTTTAAATATCTGGGTAAAAAACAAAAACTTTTTTCCCCTTCGAACATAAAATATTTTATTTTGAGAAACATTTAAAGTATGTAAACCAGTAAACATGTTAGGCTAAACAATACAAATGCATTATTGACTTCTGCTGTCTTCATTAGTTTCAAAAACACTGATTTCTTTACAATTTAAAACAGCAACTTTGGATATATTTTCTGCTGCAGGTACTGTTGTGAGAGGGTGCTCGCTGCAGAGCCATCTGAGGAGAGGTGAGCTCCAGAGAGGGGAAGCATGAGCTGTCGCTCCTCCTCCTGTAAGCTGTTTTAATGCGTACACCAACCCCACCCCTAACCCTACCCCCAGTGACATCACTCGTAGAAGAAGTGCAAAAAAGGTGGAGCTCAAGCTTAAGCTCCCCCTCTCTGGAGCTCACCTCTCCTCAAATGGCTCTGCAGCGAGCACCACTTGACTGTTGTCCTAAAAAAAAAAAAAAAGAAAGAAAGTTATAAAAAAAAATCTTACATATGCCATAGGATAGTTAGCAGAACATTTTGGCAGCTTTAAAACCTTGAATTTTCCAAACTGCGGCATACCTTGAAAACGGTTATCGTCCCAAATTAGGTGATGTACTGTACATACATTAAACTGTGGGTTTACTCTTTTGATAAATAAAAAATATATATTATATTATAGTGGTTGATGTTCATTAATGATTGAGTGTGTGAGTGAGTAAGTGATTAAATGAGTTAGTTAGTTAGTTAGTTAGTTAGTTAGTTAGTTAGTTAGTTAGTTAGTTAGTTAGTTAGTTAGTTAGTTAGTTAGTTAGTTAGTTAGTTAGTTGTTTATAGACATTTTATATGATAGAATATGAACAAAAATATATTGGAATATAATTGGTAATATATTAATTCAGTTGTGCAACCCCATCCTATCATTATTTACTTGTTTGTATTTTAACTGTTTTATGTTTTAATTGTACCACCTTGTAAAATTGCTTTATTTATTTATTTATTCACTTCTTATTTATTGTTTGTTGTTTTTTATTCTTGAGGTGACATTATTGCTGTTGCATCTAAATATTCAATTATTTGTTAACCACAAGTGCTTTATATATCAGTGCTAAATGACATAGATGTGCACAGTATATAATTTTAAAATTTACAGTCCTCAGCATATATAATTACACCCCTTACAACTCTATTTTTTAAATTAATATTTTAATTGGAAGGAATATAATATTTGTGCATATACATTATAAGTCAGTACTGAAGCCAAATCTAGAGCTTATCTAACAAAATAACTCACGATAACGGTTCAAAATCCAGTGCAGCCAAATTTATGTTATAAAAAATTTTAAATACAATTTTTGAAAAAATATATATTTTGCAATATTTAGCTTTAATTTAATTATATTATCTTTCAGTTTCTTAATGTGTTAGTTGACTAAAATATTATTTTATTAAATATATCTGTTTAATAAATCTGTTTTTTTTAAATGCACCAAAATGCATTGCCTACATTCACTGAGAAATGGATAAAAATATATTCATTTTTAAAATGGAGTGCACTCAATTATGCTAAGCACTGCATAAGCAAACTAAATGTGTCCTCCAGTCTTGGTAAATCATGAATTTATCAGTTTACCAGCAGACAGCTCCGCCCATCTGCGCATGCGCAACGCGTGTTATTTCTACAATGACGTTGCTCAGTCTTTAGTAGCCAGTTCTGCTGGGCGCTCCTCGCTTTCCTTCAGAGAGCCGCTTTTCTAAACTCAACCCCGGGAAACCATGGCCGAGCAGGCCTCGGGATCCACCCGGCCGCCTCAACACGACGGTAGGCGTTTTCTTCCACAAGGAGACTTAAATTGTGCTGATTTAGCTGTGCTCGCTGTAGGCCCGCGGCCTGTTCGTCCACGGATTAGCCAGCAACAGTCAGCCGGCTGACAGATACAGTGCTTTTTGCCTCTCTCAAATGATGCTTTAATGCTTGTTTCGTGTCTGTAATTATGACAAAGCTCCTCTTGTGAAAAGCATGGCTTGTGCTAAACCTCAGGTACACAGAAACGGGTTTTTATGGTGACCATGATGATGTTGTAGGCAGTGTGACCAGCAGATGACAGCTGGACTGACAGTGTTTTAGAGTATCAGGACAGACAGGGCTTTGTGTTGTTTACGAAATAATTGTATTTTACGTGCTTAATTATATGTACAGGCTCATGTTTGTAATGATCACATGATTCGCATGCATCTAGATTTTGCCACATAAGCAGAACTATGTTAATGTTTATGTACTTTGAAGCAGTTTATAATATGGTAAATGGGATGTAGTTTGTAGCTTAAGTTTAACTTGAAGTCCTAATGCACAGTATGACTAAAAGATCAGTAATATAGACGTGATTTTGTGATTACATGAAGATTTTATTAATAATATGTATAGGGTTTCTTTGAGTCTCCTGCAATTTAGAGTCTTGAATCAGAGCAGAAAGTCTTAAAGCCATAACAAAAAATATTACAATCACAAAAAATAATATGTCCTTCATATATATATTTTTTTAATTCAGTAGTACAATATAAATCAATTTACAATTGAGTTAAATGTTTTTGTTTTAAATATTTAGTGTGAACATTTGAATTAAGAACACTGTGGAAAATAAGATACTGAAAAAAATAATGATAAGGAGTATCAGTTATTATGCATCATAATCAGAAGGTATATAAATCATTTTGTGCATGTTTTATTGTGTGACATTTTACAAACCTTTTGAAAACTAGCTATAAGTTGTATTATTTTTAGACAATAACAATTTGTACTGCAGCCCACTGATTAATAATTATTATAATAATTACAATAATAATAAAAACAGCAGTTTAAAGTTTAGTTTCCTGCCCTGCTGTAAGGAAAATGCACTGAACCATGACTTCAGAAGCAAGGTACTTACCAAACTCTCATTGTTGTATTGTATGTATTATGGTTCAATGCTATTATGGTTCAACTGTTGCTAGCTTTTTCAAGCTGTTACCCTATAAATTTGCATTTGATAAATTTACATCTTCATTAGTTATATTTCTGTGACTTGAAGGTCTTAAATTTTCCTATACCAATTAGCTTTTGTATTTTATATGAGCCCTTTTACAATATTTATAAATACAACTATAAAAAAATACACAATATTTACAGTCACACTTTCTTTTTAATATTAATCAATTAATTTAATATCATCACCTTTTTTGGGTTTCGATTAGGAACTAATCGCAGTTAATCACTTAGCAATTAATTGAAAAGTAATCAAAATCGACATTCAGAACCTGTAATCGTTTGGATTGTTCCAGGTCAATTTTTTAAATTACTTTCTCTATTGTGTGTGGTGTCATGTGACCCCCAATCTGTTAGGGCTGATTTATTCTTCTGCATCGAACACGCGGGTATGATCCGGCGCAGCATTTGTGAGCGCACAAACCCGCACACTTATCAAAAAATCTAACTACACGTTACATGTGTGCATGCAGTGCAGTAATGAAAAGTGAAAGTACCTGCCCCCATTACGTCAGCACTGGACCTGGTTGAAACCACAGGCAGCGTACTACAGAGAGTGAATCACTTCTGACGTAATGGGATGGGTACCTTCACTTTTCACTGCTACAGCCCCTTATGGCTGCTTGTGTTCAAACCAAACTAAGATCGCCGCGGATTTTCACATGGCAGGTTTTAACATCCTTCATACATGTTAAGAGACCGAGTTGATTCACTTGAAGAAGGATTATGTCCTCACATAATCCACAAAGACATAACTTAGTAAAGTGTGAAGTCATGTATCATTTTAATCGTTGCATTAGTCTGAGTGTAAATCCCCTCGCCAGGCAGCGCTGGAGCAGCGTGTAAGAGTGGATCAAAGCGCATCAAACCAAACGTATTAACACTAGAAAAAGACACAACTGAAGACACTTAAATGCTTGTATTTGTTGTATTTTCACCAGTTTTGTGATGCACGTCCACAACTTTATCATTGAGTTCAGTCAACACTTTCCATTCACTTTGAATGGGTGATGTCAGGCGTTGCCGAACTGCATTATGGATCCGTCGGCGCCGCTTCAGAGGGGTTGCTCGCTGCAGAAGTTGGACTAGCTCAACTTTTCAAGTGCCGATGGAAGCGTCAGCCAATCAGATCGCTGTATGCAAATACACCAGCTAGACAGTGGCCTACTGCTGACTGAATTTTATTGGCTCATGCTGATATGATCGCTTTAGCCCCATCTTCAGACACGCCCTCAGTCAAGCGTTGACGCTGAAGCCCCGTGTGAATGGGGCGTTAGGCTGTCCAGTCTCTGTGTTCAGTCTGTTACAATCATGTGTGAAACCCAGTCAGGCAGTGTAATACAGAGAGTGAATCAAAGCGCATTAAATGATCAGTAATTAAAAGGTAAAAAAAGAAAAATAGAATCAATATATTTTTTTTTTTATATTAGACACACATCTGATGCTTGTATTTGCAGCAGCTCCACATCTACATCTTCGCGCATTGGGGTAAACTAGGCTTTACTGTCTTCACTGTATCTGTTCAGCAGAGGGAACAGAATCAACCCCGTGACGTCAGACACAGCGACATTCCAAGATGGTGGCGCCCGGGGTCTAAAATCTATAGTAAAACACGTCGTTTTCTTTTAAATAGTTATATTAATCGAGTTTGTTTAAAGTGGAATCCAATGTACAACATAAGGTAACCTTGACTGAGTGCTTAATTTCCCCTTTAAATCGACGGGATAATTTATTAATTTATTTTATTAATCCTCAATCAGAAATATTTCTGCCCAGTCCTTATTATGGATGATGACTGATTATGTTTTATCGGAACAGTTATTTCCAATTGTTATGAAAGCCTATGCACATGCTGTTATGATCTCGTTGAGCTACATTTTTTTTTTTGCATAAGTTCAGATAGCCTTCTGTCAGCCCTAAAGGCTAATACTTGCTTTGGGTGTTGTCATCAGTCATCTTTACAGATCTGACAAACACTTTTGATATACTTTGCAGATTTGGTGAAAATGATAAATAAATAACAGAAAATAGGAATAAAAAAACATAGTTTATGCTGTTGTACAGCCAAAATGTCACAGAAATGGAAACCGTTTCTAAAAAGAATCCTCGCACATCGTGGATGGCCACAAAAAAAAAAAAAAACTCCTTTTAACATGGAAATGATCTCTTTTATTATGTCGCAGCAATGCATCTTGTGTTGTTCGGACATGGTGTATTATTTTCTGTCTTGTTGCTTTCCTAACATACAGTAAAAAAAAAAAAACTGTCAGACACACAGTATTTCAGCATCAATCCTAAAATCAATTTTTGGACCGAAAACCAGCATGTCCTTTCATTTATTACTACAAACAAATGCCATTGCTATATCCACATTTCTAATATTCCAGTGATCTCAATAGATCACTAAGACCTAAACATAAGTGATCGACCAACCACCTCCCACCATCCCCCTGCCCCAGAAGAAATCACTGTCAAAAGTCTTATTTTTATTTACAGTAAATGTTTGCAGACTTATGTTATATGCATACTGAGCCCGCCAAGTGACCTTGCTTCTGTCAGAGAACTTTTTTGTTCACTGGAGGTTGACACACTTTTTACTGCTGGATGTAAAGTGTCACAGTGCCCTTAAGAGGTTGGAGGTGTGGGCTTTTGTTAAATGCATGTTACTGATGAATGATGTGCTGCTTTGATAGGGGTTGAACAGGAGCAGGATCGAACCGACTTCCTGAAGCTCAAACAACAGCTGGAGATGGAGTTCAACCAAAAACGGGCCAAGTTTAAAGAACTCTATCTGTCTAAAGAAGGTAAGGTTATAATAATATAAGCTACATTTAATGAATATATGTCTGTCTGTCTGTCTGTCTGTCTGTCTAAGTGCCAGTAGAGGTTTACTTGCATGTTATGAATCCAAGACCACAGTTTCAGCTAGGGATGCTCAAAATAATCGATTAACCGTTAACCGAAAGGGTGCGTTTGTGACCGATTAATGCTATCAGTTAAACGATTAAAATTATTATTTTAAATATTTTTAGTTTGGCTGCATAAGGGGCCGATTGAATGCGCCTTTGTGTTAAGAGGGGCATCTTTTGCACGCGGCTCATCCCAGAGCAGCAGTTTGTGTTGTCAAGACAACTACAGAGAACTTTTAAAGAGCTTGGTTTCCGCTACATTCATTCTTCCATGGCGGGGAACAAAATGCATCCCGCCACGGCTACATTACCCATTTAAAACATTCAGTTATTGTTGTTGTTGTTTTTAATAGCAGATTATAATCGCACCAAAACGTATTAAAAGGTAAGTGGATTATACCAGCGCAAACTTTTCTGTAACCGTATAGTGCTGTGCGCTATCTGTTTAATCCTTTGGGGTTACGTGCTGACTGACTGACGGACGGACTGACTGACTGACAGGTGCGCGATGCGTGAGGTCAGCAAACACGCAGCAGCTTTCAGTTAAGATGAACACAGTTTTCTATAGTTATACTTTATTTAGAGATAAAGGTATATGGCTCTGTATATAATCACTCTTATCTTGCTGGAGTTTATAGCCGTTTCGCTTTACTTCAGGACTCATTAATGCCGCTCTGAAGGTCTAATCGCTGTTTTAAGTTATCCAGAGCTGTATGAATGTACAAATCCTGAATATCACAATATTATTAAATATTACAATTTTATCAACATATACAGCAACACTTTTGCACAATCGATACCCAACTGATTCAGTCGTTTCATAAGAAGACCGCGCTTTCTTCTCTTTTTTCCTTGTCAACATAAAGGCGGTGAGGTGCGCCTCGCGTTTTTGGAATGAAAGAAGCACGTTAGCTGTGGTCGGCCACTTGTTCAACTGCAAGACATACTTAACTTGCGGGACAATAACGTATAACCCGTGCCTACAGACACATTTGCCAAAGAAGCAAAATGGAAGAAGAATATTGCTTGAAACAGACGTGTTGATGCTGATGTTGACCTGGATCTGCATCATAAACGCAACAAATAGACTTTACCTTTTATTTTACAGCTTATAAAGCATTTATGCACATTAATGCAATATCATATTTAGACAACACAACTGTTTACAAAAAGTCAACATATGCGCGCGTGTTGTTGTCTTTTCATCACGCAGCACGCGCACTTGAGCCGCGATGGAGAGAAAGGAAACCACGTCAAGACATAATCTTTAAAATAATGATTTCTATTAAAAATGTAAAAAGGTTTTGTGATTATAATAATAACATGATTATAATAATAACAGCGGGGCATTAAATAAATGCATATTTTCCGTCAAGCGAGCGATTTGAAGAAGTCTGCTATTTTATTTGACGGAAGACAAAAATATGATTGGAAAAAAACTGCCTATGCCGGTTATTAAAAATAATCAGTCAGTGTTTTCGATTTGTAATCTAAATTAATTATTTAAGTGGAAAATAATTTAGGGCAGTCCTATTTATTTTATTCATTTTATTTAGTTTATTCTATTCTGTGCTAAACACTGCAGGTGCGTGAAAATGCTCTGTTGTATTGTTCTATTATTAATATGCTAGCATATAAAAATAAATCAGTATTTTATGCAATATTTAATGTGTCAGACACAAAATAGACACGTCAATTTGTTTAATATAAAATTAATAGTAATCTGACCAGTTAACCGTTAATAACCGATTAATGAGCGGCGGTTGTCGGTTAGCAAAATTAACCGAAATGAGCATCCCTAGTTTCAGCTAAAATCTTCTTTTACAAATGAAGGAAAAAGTCACCTACCATCATCATTTGCTGACTTTCCTCAAGCTAGTTCTCATCTATTCTGTACACATCACATGTGAATGCACAGTTACAGAAGATTGAACAAGAAGTAAACAGTTTAGCTGTTCCGTATATCTTTATTCCATTTTGAAAGTGTACAGAAGACACATCAGTTTCAGACATTACAAACTAAGCAGTCCACTTACATCTAGAGCAAACATCTTGGGTTATTCATATTGAAGTAACAATAGATATGAGTGCAAACAGGGTGCAACTATTCAGTGTTAAAGAGATAGTTCAACCAAAAATGAAAATTCTGTCATCATTAACCCGCCCCTTGTCTTTAGAAAAAATTTTTGGAAACCTATAACTATTAACTTCTATAGTATGACTTCTTTGTTTTTCCTACTATGGAGGTAATTACAGCCTTTCAGCTTTCTTCAAAACATCTTTGTTCAACAAGTTCAAAAAGTAGTTTGATACAACTTGAGGGTGACTAAATAGTAAGTAAATTTGTATTATTTTCTGAGCTATCCCTTTAATGAAAGGTCATAGTTAATTTGTATAGTAAAGTCATGTTCGGCTGGTACTTGTCTCTCATAATTGTCATGTCTGTTCAAGTATATTTCCATAATACCTCAATGATAAAACCTGTGCATTTGAATGAGTCCTGCATGATAAAGGTGTGAGTTCTGTGAATATTGTGTGCTGCTCATGTGCTGCTCGCAGATGCTTGGAAAAATAAATAATAAAAAAAAAAATTTGCTACTAACTAGGGTTTGTTTGGGTGCCGGAAATTATCCTTGAAAATGCCTGAATTTTAAAAAAATGAATAAAGTGCTTGAAACTGCTTGAAATTAAAATTTTTGCTTTCCTAATTTTTTGTCTTACTAAATAGGTTATAATATTTAAATTTTTTAAATACTTTTTTTTTTTTTTAATATAAAAAGTGTAGGAACTAGGGCTGCACAATACTGCAAAAATGTGCGGTATGCTATATTGTTGTTGAGTATTGCGATAATGATAACATTTTCCTAGAAAAAGGCTCATTTTATTAGCCATGTTTTAAATAATTTATTAAATTTATATATATATATATATATATATATATATATATATATATATATATATATATATATATATATATATATATATATATATTAAGGGTGGAGCCGAACCCTAATACGGTATTCGGAAAGGCACGAATAGCGTGTTTTTACGAATACTTATTTCGAACAAATACTTGAAAAATTATTTGTATTCGGGAGCAAGAAAAACACTATATCAAAAAGCAGCGTTTCCTCATGAGACCACAGTGCATGCCCGCGTGAGTGAGTGAGTGAGTGAGTGAGCGAGCGCGAGAGAGAGAGAGAGAAACGCTAAGTCAAAAGTCGGAGGGCGCTTCTCCACAGCAACAGACAGAAGGCTCGGCTGAGCGAAAAAAATACTTAACTGCATCACTATTTTTGTTAAATAGATTTTTGTACCTTAATTGGGTTCCAGATGCAGTTTATAAACTTGTAGCGGAGTTTGATCTGGATATTCCGCAATCGGGTTCTCTCTGTTTACGTAACGTTAGCTCTGTTAGCGCGGTAATTTAGACAATAGTCTGTTGACAGAGTAACGTTAACGTTCGTTTATAAAGGTTAAAACGATGCTTTTGCAGTTGTGTCGAATAGTATGCACTTATGGGAGTTATATGGTACGTCTAAATTACTGTCTTTTGCAGACAGCAAGATATATGCTATAGGCTAGTTAACCTTAGCATAGCTTCCCGTCACTTTTTATTAACTTGAAACTCCTCAAATACATTTGGGCACCCAGAAAAAGAGTGAAAAAGACTGCTGCTGAGCCATTTCTTGGTCCTCCACCAGTCAAAAGAAAAAAAACCTTCAGGTTCTGTGTGGAAGCATTTTACAGTCAGTGGAGCTGCAGATAAAACAAAGTGATACTGTATAATGTGTGCAAAAGTGAAATCAGCAGAGGCAGAGATATTAAACATCTGTCAACATCTTCTATCCATAATCATTCATTCATTTCTTTTCGGCTAAATCCCTTTATCAATCTGGGGTTGCCACAGTGGAATGAACCACCAATTTATCCAGCATATGTTTTATGCAGTGGCTGCCCTTCCAGCTGCTACCCAGCACTGGGAAACATCCATACACTCTCTTTCACACACATACAATAGGGACAATTTAGCTTACCCAATTCACCTGTATTGCATGTGTTTGGACTGTGGGGGAAACCGGAGCACCCGGAGGAAACCCACGCCAACATGGGGAGAACCCAGTCGGGGCTCGAACCAGCAACCTTGTTGCTGTCAGGCGACAGTGCTACTCACTGTGCCACCGCACAACCTTCTATGTAATGTATTATCACATGCACTAAAAGCATCCTCTCCTGATACTGTCTGTGAACCCCCCACAAGCATCAATCCCCTCAATCAGCACAGCTATGCTCTGCTAAATCCTCCACAAGCACCAAACCATCAACACAGCCACATTCTGCCCCAGCAAGTCAGTTTCAAACATAAAAAAAACAAACAAACAAACTTTGTGTCTTTTTTGTGGCAGGCAGATGACAATAGCAGGGCTGTATCTTTTATTATTATATAGAATACTTTTGTTCTGCCAGATCTCCCAGGCAGGGTTTTATTTAGATTTATTTAGTTAATTTTAGTTTTTGGAATTCTGTGCATTGGAAAGAAGTTCTTTCAGAAGAAGAACAGTTTTTTGAAGTATTATTTGTTTTTATTCTGTCTATTCAGTGTCCTTCAACAAGAACGGTGGTGGTGGGGTTCATAATATTCACAATGGTATTTTATTAGTTGTTGGTTTAACCATGGATGAGATAATGGCTTCTATGTTATTTTCTTTTCAATGACGTTTCTTGTCACATGTTCAAAAACAACAGCCAATATTGCATATCTATAATTTATATAATGGGTATAATTAAACAATACTTTCACTATAACGTAAATTAGAAGTGTAATAGAAAAAATATATATTTTTGCTCCATTTTGAATTTTACTCGAATACAAATACAAATACTTTTCCCCCCCTCAACAAATACAAATACCGGCTGCTCCACACATCCCTATATAAATTATTATTATTACTACTACCATAGCTATTATAATTTTTTTTTTTTTTCAGATCTAATTCAGACAAAAAATGTGTCAAGTGGCAAACATTTAGCCTTTTTTACACTGAAAATCTAAGCAGATATTTTCACGCTGATTAGATGTTGTCATGTTCCTCATTTTCCTGCCATTAGTATTTTTTTTTAGCTCTGGGTTCACCTTTGGGTCGCTCCAGCCATAAGCAGAACAACAATTACAGGAGAGCCGGGCATAAAAAGAGCAAGGCCCCATCTGATTGGTCAAATTTACAGAAACCCCCAATGCATAAAATACATTTAATTCATCACACATGTCTGCTATATGTATATTGCATACTATTATCGCATTGACGATCATATTGTGATATTGTGCAGCCCTAGTCAGAACCATGTACTGTTTACTTTCCTTTTTTTTCCTGTTCTTCTGAAAATCAGAATTTCAGAGTTAAAAATAAGAATGCAGCCAAAACCAAATTAATTCTGTGGCATCTGACAATACAGTGCAAATGCTTGGCAAAATCATCAGTCTGTGCAAGGAACTACACATTATTTACAAC